GATTTGATAATGAGCAGGTCAACCGTCCACGGACGTGTGCAAGCGGTGTAACAAAGTGCGAAGAGAAGAAAGGAGACAGAAAGAGAGGTTAGATATGGTAAGAAGAGAAAGAAGGTGAAGACGCTCAGTTTTCGTACATAATGCGGTCTATGGATACTTTTTTGGCTATCGCAATGACGGCTTTTTACGCGTGTTTTGAGATCACTTGCAGAAGGGTTTCGTAGACAGCTCTTAATACACCTCTGCTTTCCTAATTCCTTGGGTCTCTACCTTTTTTAATAGAAGATTAGCATAAGAATAAAGAAACGGGTTGGTGTGGTGGTACTCGATAGTTACCATGTCGAGTACTTAGGGCCACGAAAATAGCTTATCGATCTATAGTGTGCCTATCGATCATAACATCAATTAATTCACAAACCTGTGGCGTTTCGAGGGATAGAAAGAAACCTTTGATTTTGCATACAAAGACGATAGCGTGATGTTACAGGATATGGATACTTTGAATGACTAAATACTCATATTTTATGAGACTCGAACGTATCAATTTTCACATCCCATCGCGGGACCTGAGACGTCAATGATTATATACAAGAGGATTAACCTGGCAAGAGAAGAGCCCAAACATGACAAGATGAGACGTGCAAAACGCGACACGTTTCACGCAATTCGCCATCCTTGTTTCGAGGATAGGGGTGGAGGACACGCGCTGAATCGGTGGAGAGCCCAAGAGTACCGCACTTTTCTGCCATAGAGGTCCCCAGGAGCAATCTTGTGAAGGGATTTCTTGTTTTGTTCTTAACAGACATTGCCCCATCGCTTTTGGTGAACCAGCCAAGAAACGCCATGGATATCAAAGTACAGAAACATGATTGTCAAGGTGACGTTGCTTGGATGTCACTTACTCCTTGCGGACATGGAAGTCCACGTTACGCTGGCGCATGAGGTCCTTGCGCTCCATTTCCTTGGCTGTAGGTAAAGTGTTAGCGTTGGCCCTGGAATTAAAGTTCGAGTGGAAGTTCCATACCTTCATCGTAAACCAGGAACTCGTGCAGACCACGGCCAGAAGGCACCATGGGGAGAACCGGAACCTTGCGGTCAGTGATGACCTCCAGGAGGGCAGGGCCATCCTGCTCAATCAGCCACTTCAGCTTCTCTTCGACCTCGGAGGGCTTGAAGCAGGTGTCGGCAGCGACACGCATAGCACGGGCCAGAGGAACGAAGTCGGGGTTCTGCTGGTGGGTGTGAGAGTAACGATCCTCGTAGAAGAGGTTTTGCCTGTAGTTGGGTGTGAGTCAAGGATTCCTAGAGTATTGTAGTGTATGATAAGACTTACCATTGGGTGACCATGCCCTGCTCCTCGTTGTTAAGCAGGAGAACCTTGACACCAATGTTGAACTGAGCAGCAGTGGAAAGCTCAGTCAAGGTCATGTTGAAGGAAGCATCACCATCAATGTCGATGACCAGGCAGTCAGGACGGGCAACCTTGGCGCCCAGGGCGGAAGGAAGACCGTAACCCATTGTACCAAGACCACCGGAGGTGATCATGGTGCGAGGGTGGCGCCAGCGGAAGTGCTGAGCAGCCCACATCTGGTGCTGACCGACACCAGTCGTAATGATAGTCTTGTCCTTCATGTGAGCAGTGAGGTCGCTGAGCTTCTCGATGACAGCCTGGGGCTTGATAGGGCCCTCATCGGTCTGACGCTCGTAGAGCGATAGGGGGAAGCGCTGCTTCCAGTCGTTGATCTGCTCGAACCACTCGGGGCGCTCGGCAACAGGCTTGACGTGGGGCAGGAGAAGACGAAGGTTATCGGCGCAATCACCCTCGACGGCTTCATTGGCCTGGACAACCTTGTTGATGTTCTTTGGCATGATCTCGAAGTGAACAATACCTCCACGGCCCTCGGCAGCGGCAAGCTTGGCCTGGGGAGCGAACTTGGGGATGCTGAGGGTAACACGGTCATCGAAACGGGCACCAACGGCAATGATCAGATCAGCCTCCTGCATAGCCATGTTGGCGTAGGCAGATCCGTGCATGCCCAGCATGTGTAGAGCCTTGGGGTCCAGCTCATCGAAACCACCAAGACCCTGAAGGGTGGTGGTGACAGGGATGCAGGCCTTGTCGGCAAACTCCTTCAGGATCTTGGGGCCATCAGGGCGAGCAAGGAGACCCTGTCCAACATAGAGGACAGGCTTCTCGGCAATGTTAACCAGGTTAGCAACACGGCTAATAGTGCTCTCGAGCTGCTTCTGGCTCATTTCACGGGCAGCCATAGTAGCTGCGCTTGGGAGCGAGGGAATAGTGCTGTGCATCGGGATGGGGTTCCGGAGGATGCCAGCAGTGACATCTTTGGGCAGATCAACCAGGACAGGACCCGGGCGGCCACTAGTGGCGATCTCGAAAGCTTCCTGGATACGGCGAGGCAGCTCACCAACGGACTTGACCATCACGTTCCACTTGGTGCAGGCACGAGAGATACCGATAACGTCGGCCTCCTGGAAGGAGTCGGTACCAATTGCGCTGGTGGGGACCTGACCACAGAAAACAACCATCGGGGTACCATCGGAGAGAGCATCTTGCATGGGAGTGATGACGTTGGTAGCACCAGGGCCGGAGGTCACGAGAACAACACCGGGCTTTCCAGAGGCACGGGCGTAACCCTCAGCCATGTGGCCGGCACCCTGCTCGTGCTTGGGAAGGAGGAATTCGAAGTGCTTGGAGTTGTAGATGGCGTCGAACACGGGAAGAATGGCACCACCGGGGTAACCGACTATAAAGTATTAGAATTGGCCAATTTGTGACTTGAGGGATGAATCACTCACAGACGTGCTTCACACCCTGACGCAGCATCATCTCGTGGAAGATTTCACCGCCGCTCATGCCAACCATTCTTTTGGTCCATTTGTCAGTTTCTTGTGTTCTCTAGCTGTGACTGAGGGAACGTACGAGTCATCGAGCTCGGGAAGCTGGCGGTGTTGCAAGGGAGAGATCTCATTGCGATGGGGTTCCTGGTTGAAGGCCGGACTGGGAACAGGTCTGGACTCCCTGACGATTGATTGAATTAGAACTGAACCACTGCATTGAGCAAAGCAAAACTCACGGAGCTGAAGCCGTAGCTGTGCTCTGACCACGCTTCTGGATAGAAGAGCGGTGGGGCGAAGCGGCCGAAGCCACAAAAGATGTCGAGAAAGGCCGACGTCCAGCGAGATTCCTGATGTGGAATGCGCGCAGAGCGCTATTTGATGGTCTTAAAGGCATCATCGTTGATGACGGCCAAGCCAGAAGTATAGAGGGGAGAGTGGTGAAGGAAAAATGAGTTTCAATTGACCGCTGAAGATTGCTGTGACTCTCTCTGGGGATCGAGAAAACGCCTTAAGCCCAAATGGTCCGACCGCTCTGAGTCAACCAATTCCCGCCCTCTGATTGGCTCAAGACGCCTCTGCGCCCTCCGACCTCGGCCGCTGGTGGTCACCTGATCTGGCGGTTTTCGTATCACGTGGTCATGCCTCGGCAGATAAAAACAGTCAATACTACAGATCTACATCCAGTTATCTGTTGAAATTAAGCTTGTATTGTCTTGAACTATCCTACACTCTATCCCAGCCATCATCACTATAACTTACTATGTCCCGAGCCTCGTCGATGGAAATACGTATGTTCTAGCCTTGTGGCCTGATTTAAGATCCCGACCTTTTTCGGACGGGTGGATCTAGATCGGCCGGGCATCTGGGCTAAGCTCCCCGGGATGTATAGATGTGAAGCTATTGACTCCTTGCTGTATGGCATTATATCCTGTGTTAGTTGTTCGAGCCCGTTAGCCCCAGAAAGCCAGGGTCTTTTTCGCAGATTTCTTTTCTCCAGTCTTTTGCAAACTATACGCGACCCCTGTCCTACTCTTGGAGATATTTTCAACCCCTGCATCCCGGCCTTTGGTGTCAAAAAAAAGAATCAAACCATGATTTTATACATAAGGCTATACTTGCATTAACAGTTATTGCGATACTTTGTCGTTACTATCCAATGTGTAGTGCTCTAGGTATCTCTCAGACATGCGCTTGTGTTGTCGCGTGCGTGAGTCTCGGCTGGCACTAACGAGTCCTTATAGTCCTTATAGTCTTTCCCCGAGACCTCATACAGTGAAATTGATCTGCTAGGATCAATGGCTTTATATTTAGACTGCAACTACTATATAAGTACAAAGGTTGCCGACGATTCTTGGCTCGGAGTTGTAAGCGTGACTGAATTCTAGACAACTACTATGTAAGTTATGTCCATCTCGGCAAACTTGCTTATATATATATATATATATAAAAGCACTATTCTCTATACAGTGCCCAAAAGACCAGTATTTCTTGCAGCCTAAACCGAAAACCTTGGAAGCTAGGCCGATATATAGACTACAACCACAGATAGTCGTAGTTCCGTATAGTATAAGAGAATAAGAGACTCAACGGATTAAGCAAACATTGAACATCAAATACCTTTCGATACAAAATCAACCGCTACAACAACGAAGTTCAATGTAGTAAACTCATCCAGAATTAGCTAGATTTAAGTGCCGACTCCCCCAAAACCACCCCCTCCTCCCAATATACACATTAGAATGCACTGTTTCAAATCTTAGTGGATTCAAGATCATACTCAAAACATCGAGGTACTACCTAACCGAGTCACTAACGTGCATTAAAATGGCGCAATAACGCCGAACAATGAGGAAAAGGGGCGGCAAATAGTTTAGCTCGGGGCCGATTTAATGAAGGCGACCCCCGCATCCATTACGATTGGACGACCATGCCCTGATTGCGCAACCATAGATATAAGATCTTAACATAAAGATTCGGGTATTCCGGCTAGATTTTCTTTGAAAACTAGTCGGTAGTTTAGTCTTGCGGGGCCTGTCAGTGGGATACTACCGTAAATATATAAATAGGCAGTTCCGGGGCTTTTGAATCTAGTTTCTCTTTGAAGTTCCACTTGTTATACTTCCAACATTTCTATAACAATGGGCAACGCAAAGAGAAGACCAAACTTCCTTGTCATTGTCGCCGACGATCTCGGCTTCAGTGACATCTCTCCCTATGGAGGTGAAATTGAGACACCAACTCTTGCAAAGCTGGCCAAAGACGGCATTCGTATGACCAACTTCCACACAGCATCTGCATGCTCCCCGACTCGGTCAATGCTGTTTTCCGGAACAGATAACCACATTGCCGGACTTGGTATGAACTATGAAAACCCCACCCCGTAAAGAGAAATATGCTTATACACCCCCTAGGACAAATGGCAGAATTCATGCGAAACTTCGGAGATCACTTCAAGAACAAACCCGGCTACGAGGGATACCTAAACTGGCGAGTAGCAGCTCTATCAGAAATCCTGCAAGACTCGGGATACCACACAATAATGTCTGGAAAATGGTTAGTTTCTACACCCGAACTTTGAATACCACACAACTGAAAGAAAACAGGCATCTTGGAATGACCAAGGAAATTGCACCATGCTCCAGAGGCTTTGACAAAAACTTCTCCTTGCTTCCAGGCGCAAGTAACCATTACAACTATGAGCCTCAGTTGGAAGACGGTGAATTCCAGGCACCATGTATAAACACGACAGGATTCTGGATGGAAGGAGAGAAAATCCTTGATCGAACAGCAGATCTCCCTAAGCATTTCTATTCAACTCGCACATTCACCGATAAGATGATAGGTTTCCTTGAGAATCGCACAGAGGAGGAATCGCAGAAGCCGTTCTTTGCTTATTTACCCTATACGGCGCCGCATTGGCCTCTACAGGCTCCTCGGGAGATTATTGAGAAATACGGTGAGTACGTTCTAGCAATGATGGCCGTGCGAGAACTAATTGGTTTCAGCGGGCAAGTATGATGACGGACCTGATGCCTTGACACAGAAGAGGCTCCAATGGCTTAAGGAGTTAGGACTGGTGGATGGGGCTGTGGAACATGCCTCTCCAGTTGGGAAACTTGGAAAAGACTGGAATGAGATGTCACCGGAAGAGAAGAAAATTTCCGCGCGAAAGATGGAGGTTTTCGCTGCAATGGTTGATCAACTCGATGCCAATGTTGGCCGGGTTATTGAGTACCTTGAGTCTACTGACGAGCTGGACAATACATTCGTCTTGTTCATGTCAGACAATGGCGCGGAAGGCGCAGCTTTGGAGGCTCTACCGGTATGGATCCTCGGTCAATCTCAGTATACGAACTCTGATTAACTTGTTTCCAGCTCATGGGAGGCAAAAAGATGATGGGAGATATTATTTCCAAGTATTATAATAACGCACTGGAGAACATTGGTGAGCCCGATTCATTTGTGTGGTATGGTATGTATCCCGAGAGATTCTGATCTAAATGTCCACCTGGAGAGGTGTGCCTAACATATCAAACCAGGTGCTCGTTGGGCCTGTGCCGCAACCGCCCCTTCACGAGGTTTCAAAGGGTGGGTAACTGAAGGTGGAATCCGCTGTCCTTGCATGATCCGCTATCCTCCATTCCATGCCAAACCCGAAGCCATCACCAATGCATTCACTACGGTAATGGATATCCTTCCAACCATCCTGGACTTGGCCGGAGTAGCCCATCCAGGCCCACAGTTCCGTGGACGAAAAGTCGTCCTTCCGCGTGGCCAGTCGTGGGTTTCACATCTAGCCTCAAGCGACTATAAAGCCACTAGCGTCCACAAAGAAGACGTCTATATTCATGGATGGGAGCTGTTTGGAATGCGAGCGATTCGGGAGGGCAAGTGGAAGGCAGTTTGGATTGCTCAGCCCCGTGGGAAAGATGAGTGGGAGCTTTTCAATGTAGAAACCGATCCCGCTGAAATCCATGATCTTGCACAAAGTGAGCCGGGTGTTCTCGCTCGATTAGTCCAGCATTGGGAGCAATATTATGCGGAGACGGGGATGGTGCAGACACCTGTCGTTGACAGGAAGATGTGAATCCCACTCATGCCCCGCTGCGTCTGACGGGATGATCAAGTGGAGTAGCGGGGTTCAGGGTCAGCTTCGTTAATAGCAAATAAAAGTGTCCAATTTAACAATTCCACCCAGTCCCCATGGGAAACTATATCAACCCAAGTGAGCTGAAAACATCAAGATGCCAGAACTAGAAAGATATCCCGTCGCAATCATCGGGGGAGGACCTGTCGGTCTAGTATCATCAATCCTTCTCTCTCAGCAAAAGATCCCACATGTCTTGTTCGAGCGTTATCCCTCGACTTCAATCCATCCGAAAGCATGTGGCATGAACATGCGCACCGTTGAGATATTCCGCCAAATTGGAATCGAAAGGGAGGTGCTGGAGCAACGAGCCCCGCAGAATACAGTCAGTCGCACTACCTGGCGTACAACTCTTGGGCCAACCAGCCGAGAAATCATCGGACGTGATGCATGGGGAGGAGGAGCCTACCAGGAAGAATGTAAGGGGTCAAGCCCATGCCCATACGTTATTATACCCCAGATCAGATTGGAGCCAATCCTTCAGAGAAGAGCCATTGAGCTCAATCCCCAGGGCATCAGATACGGAGTGGAAGTCACAGATACCGAAGAGGATGGTGATCGTGTGATCCTAACCACCCGCGACACCAACGGGTCTGGTATTTGCCGGTTTGAAGCTCGTTATGTCATCGGAGCTGATGGGGATCGTGGTCTCACTGACGAACTCGGCATTAAGTGGGAAGGAGAAAGAGATATTCTCGATATGGTCTCTGCCCATTTCAAAGCACCTTTGAGTGCCCACCATCCCGATCCCAGGAATTTCATTACCTGGTTCATCGATCCTTTGAAAGGCGGCAGTATCCGAACAGGATATCTTTATCACCTCGGTCCCTACCCAGTAACTACAGAGACGGAAGAATGGCTCTTCGCTTGCGCTGTTAATCCAGAGAATGTCCAGGACTTCAAGACCGAGGATATGGTTGAGCGGATCCATGGTACTCTTCAGATCCCCGATTTGGATATTAACCTCATAAGTCTGTCTCATTGGCGCGTCGACAGTATCGTCGCAGAGAAATATAGGAGCGAAAAAGGTCGTATCTTTCTCGTTGGTGATGCCGCGCACCGCATTCCACCTTGGGGAGCTCTAGGGCTGAACACCGGAATCCAAGACGCACACAATTTGGTTTGGAAACTCGGTCTAGCAATCCGCAGCGATAAACTGGGTCGTTATAATGCTCTACTTGATACATATGAGACGGAACGTCATCCCATCGGGCTCCGAGTTGCACAAACCAGTCTGCACAACCTTCAATCCCATGCCCTAATTATGGACCGTGCGCTAGGGATCTCACCCCAGAACAACACAGAGTCAAACGTGAAAGCCATGGAAGAATACTTCATACCACACTCAACAGAAGGCAAATCAAGACGACAAGCTGTCCAGAATGCCCAAAATATTCTAGACATCGAGTTCCACGCACTCGGCGCTGAGATTGGATGGTTTTACCCCAACATCGATCCAGAAACCCCAATCACCTCCTCGAACCACGGCGGGCAGCTTCTCCCCAATGGTGAATTGAACTGCCTGCAATATCATCCCTCACTATTACCTGGGCATCACCTACCACACATATGGCTAGAAAAGAACGGAGTGGTCCGATCAACACGGGATCTGATCCCATGCGACACATTACTATTTCTTATATCAGGTCCATACGGAGAAGCGACTTATGACGGAGTCGCCCGAGTCGAGCGTATCGGGGACTCGGGCTGGAGGGATGCCGACGGCATGTGGGCCAATTTGAAAGGGCATTTAGCCGGCATTCTTGTGCGGCCCGATGGGATCATTGCTTGGAAAGCCGACCACCATAGCATGTTGGATATGACTGGAAAAGGGCTGGCTGTGGTTATAGAGCGTCTCACGTCCGGAAGGAGATAGCCTGATTCCTAGAAGTATGTGTACCCCGGTCACTCTTTCCCCCTTTTGAGAAGTCATACTTAGCAATTCAAGTTTACCGGTGTTCTCGGCCTCCTAGCCGCCGTATATTCAATATTCTGAGGGTACTCCAGCCTCCCACAAACTCCAGTGCGTACCGCCGGCCTGGTTGCAAATAGTTTAGCAATTCGGTCGTAAACCGATTCCGCAACACCTCGCCTTGCCGATTGGGCCAGTCTTGTGAGTTATCCTTAAGTTATATCAAAATAGAGTGACAAAAGAGATGGTAAATAATACTCGCAGCTATGACCGATCATGTCCTCGCGTTAGATCTGATCGACGCATAGTGCATCTGGGCAATAGACTGCCGTAAGCGGCTAGGATAATATGCATGATAATGCAGAATGGGAAATGTTTCTGCCATGTGTACAGTAGACAACATTTGCGTCATAACATGTGGAGACTGGAGAATCATAATATCCAATCAGAAACTGTGGAGGAATGCAGAAAAGAAAAGAGCGTGGAGAGAGCCGAAGGGACTCCGCAAACTGACTACATCCGGACACCGAAAGCCCGAAATGCGACAATGGGCTGTCACCCCACTGACTTTACCCGGGGTCGAAACCGGGGCGTGTACATCTCCACATAATCTCTTCCAAAGGACTCCTTCTTTTCTTTCTTCGTCTTCCTCTTCGTCTTCTTCTTCTTGTCTTCCTCTTCTTCCTTATCCTCCACCCCTCGCTACCCCGCCACCCCGCCATGTCGACCCAAGAGCTCGTGCCACAAACAGAATCCATTGCTGAAGTCTACGCCACAGACGAGGCTTCGCTAGCATCCGTTGCACCGGAGCACCAGCAGCGATGGACTAACCTTATCTCCCAATTCAACAAGACTTACAGCTACCGCCCGGACTTCGTGGCGCGCAGTCCCGGCCGTGTGAACATCATCGGCGAGCACATCGACTACTCGCTGTATGATGTCCTGCCGACCGCTGTGAGCGTTGACGTGATCATGGCCGTCAAGGTGGTCCCTGCTAGCGGTGCGGAATCGATCATCAAGATCGCCAATGTGTCACCGGAGAAGTTCCCCACGCGCGAGTTCAGCGTGCCCCACGATAAGGATGTCGAGATTGACCCCAAGAAGCACGAGTGGGTGAACTACTTCCGTGCCGGCCTGTCCGGCGCACTGAAGTTCTTGCGCAAGGAGAAGCCCGATGGATCCCTGGTGCCTGCCAGCATGGAGATCCTGGTTGACGGCAATGTTCCCCCCGGTGGTGGCATCTCTAGCAGTGCTGCCTTCGTGTGCGCCAGTGCCTTGGCCGTCATGAAGGCCAACGACCACAACGTCTCCAAACAGGACCTGTTGGATCTTGCCGTTGTCTCGGAGCGCGCTGTCGGTGTCTACTCCGGCGGGTAAGTTCAAAACCCCTCCAACCCGAAATGGCAGTGGAACAAAACTAACACACTGAATCGCAACAGCATGGACCAAGCAGCATCCATCTTCTCCAAGCGCGGCTACCTCCTCTACACCCAATTCTTTCCCCAATTCAGAGCCAACCACGTGCCAATCCCGACAGCTGCAGACGAAATCACCTTCCTAATGGCCCAAAGCTTCGTGACCTCCAACAAAGCCGACACCGCCCCGCGCCACTACAACCTGCGTGTAGCAGAGTGCACTCTCGCCGCCGTAATCCTCGCAAAGAATTACGGCCTAACCCTACCGAAGGACAACAGCTCGCTAGGCTACAGTCTGCGCAACTTCCAAAACGAGTTAATGACCAAGGAAGAAAGACTGCACGACCCCCTCGAATACCAAATCGACTCCGTAATCCAAGCAACACAAGACCTTTTCACCAAAGAAGAAGGCTACACGCGCGAAGAAATGGCCCAGCTCCTAAGTATCACCGTCCCAGAACTAGAATCGACCTTCCTCTCCGCCTTCCCCGTGCAAGCGGAGCGGTTCCGACTCCGCCAGCGCGCGCTGCATTGCTTCAAGGAAGCGCGCCGTGTTCTCGATTTCAAAGCTTGTCTCAGCAAGGCGAAGCAGTTGGACGAGAGGCGCATCCATTACCTTGGTCAATTGCTCAATGAGTCACAGGCTTCGTGTCGCGATTCTTATGAGTGCAGTGCGCCTGAGGTCGATGATATTTGTGCCATTGCTCGTCGGGCTGGTACTTGGGGTAGTCGACTGACTGGTGCTGGTTGGGGTGGGTGTACTGTTCACATGTTGCCGCAGGGTAAGGTTGAGGCTGTCACCAAAGCGCTGCGGGAGGAGTATTATCTGAAGAAGTTCCCTGATATCACGAAGGAGAAGTTGGAGCAGGCTATGGTTATTAGCAAGCCTTCCAACGGGTCTTTCTTGTATGTTCTTCCCCCTTTGGGATGGTCGTGTGTGGTTGGATGGTGATTGGCTAACTTTTTTGTTTTTTAGGGTTACCGGTGCTGCTATTGACGAGGTTCCTCTTTAAATTTGGTTGCTGGTTAGTGGTAAGGCATGTTTTGGTAGAGCTGCTGACCTCTCAATTGATAAAAATACAAAATCTTCATAGCAAGTAATTCGAGTGGTGTATATATACAACTTGAGTCTTGGGTTGTTTAATAATAGTATACAGTGGTGACGCATGGTAGATCTTCCAGATTAGGCGTTGATGTGTCCAAATTGAGACGTGGAATTTCCTCTTCCTCCTTGAAGATAAGCTCGGCTCTTTTCGGCAAGCCATCACGTGGGTTCCTTGGATTAAGTGGTATAAAGGAACGAAGCGCGTCCCTCGATCACGTTGAGGGTGCCCCGGTGTGATCTCGCCAACAGCAGGGAGCTTGCCTCCAGAAATGCCAATGTAGTTCATAACTATGACAGAAGGAGGCGTATTGTTGAAGCTCGATGGCAGTCCATCAAGCCACGCAAGAAGGCCTCAGCGCGGTATGAGGCCAAACGTAGTATCCAGCTGAGAATCGACCGAAATCTTTCAAGTCTTCTTCTTGGGAGGAGCCTTGGCGAAGAAGGCGCTCATCTTCTGCATACCAGACGTGTTGACCTTTTTCAAGTTCTTCACAGCCTGGGATTCAGCAGCCTTTTTTTCTTCTCATCTTCATCCTTTCGACGTTTCTTCTCAGCACGGACATCCTCTTCCTCATCATCCAAGCCACGTTTGCGAGTGAAGTCGGACATATTACGGGATGCAAGGGCTTGAGCACGAAGTTCCGCAATCTCTTTCAGACGGTCCTTCAAGGGCTTCAAGTCAAGTGGACTTTCCGCCGAAGCAAGGATCTCATCCAGTCGCGCGGCCATAGCGTCGGGTAGATAGGACTCTTTCATGTAGGACAGTGCCGTGGAGATTCGAAGTAGGCGAGTAACGTGATCCAGGGCTGTTGAGTCAGTACCGGGTGGCTGAGGTACAGGAGTGGATTCCCCAGCGGGTGTTGCAACAGATGGTGTATCATTTGTGGCCACTGTCGATGGTGAATCCTGTCTCTCTTCCGATTTGGAGGCCGAGTCACCATCCTTGGGGGGCTCTTGGCTTGTCACGACATCTTCACGTTTGACTGACATCAAGGGGGTTGCTAGTGCCTGGCGAATAAAGCGTTCCTCCAGACTAACTGGAAGTCCTCGATCTGCCATCCGTTCTGCCTTCGTGATCAATTCCTTCACTAATTTTATCTCGTTGAAGCGGAACATCTTCTCATCGCCCGCTTCGACCGTATCACATACAGCCTCCACGCGAGCCAAAAGAGAGCTCCTGAATGTCTCATCGTACAGCACCTGGCGAAGGTGCTTCGGCATATCATCATTGGAATCGATAATATCGTCCAATGGCTGGAAAAGGGATTGTCCTGCTTTTGAGGAAGGGGCCAACAATGGGACCATAAAGAACATGGCATCGATAGGCGTCGCTACCAAAAGCTCGGCTTTCTTCGTAATTGTAGGCTTCACGGAGGGCTCATCGTTCTCGTTTTTCTCTTCCGAATGGGATGTGCATTGGTGTGTCCGGGGAGTGAACAGGATGCTTCGCGCCATATGAGCAGGCGGTGCAACAACTGTAAACTCATACACGCCGCGCTCCGGGCAAAATAAATAACGGCTCAACTCCCCCGATTGGGGCTGAGGCAGGCTGAGGAGTCGCGCATTGCCGCTGGCGGAAGGGAGGATAAACGTTTTGCTTGGCTTCTCCGAGACAAGGACCTTTGGTTGAGATTGCTCGGTAGTTTCTTCAGACTTCTTGCCTTTCGTAGGGGCTGATCGGGTCTTCATGGTTGACGTTGAAAAGTAGAAGTGTAGAGTGGGAACGGAAGGGGAGCGCGACGCGACGCGCCCGCCGTAATGTGATCCGTCACTGCCCTTGCTGCATTAGCGAGTGTTTCATCTTACATCGCGAATTCCCCGACATTCAGCTCCCCTTGTTTCTCTTTGTTTTCTTTTGGGATTCTAGTGTTCGCTCCCCGCATCTATACCCACGGCGCGTATTAGGCGTATCGCTCAATTTTGCGCAGGGAATGGCCTAAGCCGCCAATCAGGCTATGGTGCTTTCGGTCTTTGATTACCCTTGAACCTCTGATTCATTAGTACGGCTTTCCCTGCGGTCTACGCTAATCGCTTCCTGACAAGTTTTCCCGCAGTGACCGAGCCTGCGTGGCCACCCCAGTCGCCCCGCGCGGCTCTCTTGAGCTCGCCCGCCGGACGAAGACGATACCAAGACATGCAGCGCAATCGCGAGAATTTTACGTCGCCTTTGAAGCGCTCTAGCACTACACCTAATTTTCGATCGAAGGCGAACCAGATCTTGGACGAGGATGATGCGGAAGAAGAGGACGAGGAAACGCTGCAGCTTCAGCTTGCCGAGATCAAAGCCCGCCTGAGGTTGAAGAAGCTCCAACAGAAAAATCGCGGCAGATCTAGCTCCAATCTCGAAGAAGAAGACGCCCGTCCAAGCTCTGCTATAAGCGCCGCGCGAACTGAAGCCCATGCCTTGACACCGAGAAGCGCCAAACCAGCCCTTGGAAGGTCGACGAGCGATGACATTCAGGTCCCGGCATCACCTACCAGGCGCGAGATTCCCACTGTGGACCCCCTATCACCACGGAGATATCAGATGGGCATTGATAAGGGATGGAAAGCTAGCGATGTGTCGTTGAAACGACCCCCAAGCTCAAGAACGGACCCTCGACCCAGCAGCCAGATTGGTTTCCGAGATGGGGCCATGGCACGCCCCAACGATGTGTTTTCTTCCAGACCACAGACGTCCCCCGGATCTCGAGGGATCAGTCGAATCAAAAGCTTCAGCGAGAGGATGGCTGAGGGCAGAGCAGCCGAGAAATCTCGAATGGAGAGAGCAGAACGGATCCAGGCAAACCGCAGCTCGGCTTTCCAAATCGATAAAGCAGAAATCGAGGCCTTTAAGGCTGCCGCAGCTGATGCGAAGCCATCTTCCCCGTCAAGGGAGCGGCCCGCGGAATCCTTTAGTCGCGAGGATATTCTTCGATCTATGGGCCAGGCTCGCCCGTCTGGGCTTCAGCGCAGTCAGACAACTCCGAGCATCCGCCGCACTGAGGGAAATACTGGTACCAATGATCGACAATCTCATCTCCATAGAAGGAATAACACAATGGAAGAAACAACAGGGCCATCCCAAAATGGTGACTCGCTCAAGCCCCCCGACTCCTCAAAATTCGAGTCCTACTCATCATTACACCTCTCAAATCGGGTCCTCCCACATTCATTCTTGAGCCGCACACTCGCAGACAAAAAGGTTCTCCGCATCCCCGATTTACTGAAGACAGTGAAGGCGCCTGCATTCGAACTCCCCGAAGACATTGAAGGAGACTTTGTGGTATTCGGAATCGTTGCGTCCAAGTCTGAACCTAGGGATGTGAAATCTTCTGGAAACGCAACTGCAAAAACAGAAGACCCCTATGACGATGGCCTGAATAATACAAACAAGTACATGGCTATAACTCTGACGGATCTAAAATGGACCATCGATCTCTTCCTTTTCGGCACCGCCTTCCCCCGTTACTACAAGGTTTCCGAAGGCACTCTTATTGCAATCTTGAACCCTACAATCATGCCCCCTCCCAAACACAAATTAGACACGAACCGATTCAGTTTGTCTTTGTCGTCGTCCGATGACACAGTTCTCGAGATTGGCTACGCCCGGGATATCGGATTCTGCAAGACCGTGAGAAAGGATGGAAAGACCTGTCAATCCTGGGTGGATGGGCGAAAGACCGAGTTCTGTGATTTCCACGTGGACATCCAACTCCGAAAGACCCAGGGCCAACGCTCAGGAGTCAACGCCGACACTGGCATGTTTGGACCAGGTGGTAAATCCGGAGCACGAACCGGTTTCTTCAACGAAGGAGCCAAGCGAGGGGGCGGCCGAGGCAACGGTGGCTACGGACAAGGTCAGGGATTGAAACGGGATGGCCCTCAGTATGACATGGGATCCCAATCCCTATACTACGTGGCCCCAGCCCCAAAGAATCGCGGAGCCGGTCGCGCCTCATACAACCCCGTCGGAGGTTCTGCAGCAAACCTGATCGATGCGCACGATGACCCCTTCCTATCCTCCGGCATGATGGGCCGCGGCTCAGAAAACAAAGAAGAGAAAATGCGCCGACGTCTCGCAGCCCAACAACGCGAACGCGACATAACCCAAAAACTTGTCTCAGGCCGAGTCGGAGGCGTAGGCGCCGAATATCTCCGCACAAGAACCGGCAATGAAACCCCAAACATGGAAATGACTCCAGGAACACCTACTTTGCCCAAGAGTCCTTCAGCCACGAACGGGATGGATCTCACCACATTCGGCAAAGCCAGAAATGTCCGCTTGAGTCCCATGAAGCGTGCCCATGGCACACCGCACGGCAGTGGGGTGAAGAAGACGCGGTTTATCACTTCGAAGGGAATTAGAGAAGCTGGTCGGGAGAGTTTGGGGGCACCGGCTGAGGTCACGGCTGGTGGAAGGCAGGCGATCTTGGATGATGACGATGACGATGATTTGGAGTTTGTTTGATGCGTTCCGTGCATCACGTTCTCCGGTTCGCTGGTTATCATTTGCATCCTTTGGAAAGGAATCCTAATTACGCTGTTACGAATTCAAAGCATGTCCCCAGTGGACCGGTTGCATTAGGCGAAGGTTTTTTTGTTCGATTTGTCCATGAGGAGAGGTTGATATTATCCTTGTTTAAATCGACGTATTTATTATAGTATGCTCATTTTCCTTGTAGAGTACGGACTTGATCATGCGTGTAGGTCGGAGAGCTTGGTTCCTGGCCGTAATAATGAGGGCTATCTGGGTCACGGGACCATGACGTTGAAGCCAGGCTGAAACAACCGCGTCGGTACAAGAAGTTACTTTACAAAGGACAATCTACAACATGAAGAAAAGGTAGCTATTTGATAATTCAATTTGGGGTGTTCCGCTATGCCGTCGTTTTGTCCCATAATGTCCTCCCAGGATTATGGACAAACCCAAGCCATCGACCAGACACATTAAAGTCACATCCAAACCATCTTAGTCCCAAGCGAGAACCAGAAAAGAATTCCGGGAATCAAAAGATCGAAGTAGAAATGACCGACGAAAACACAAGGTGCGTCGAGGCACAAAGAAAGAGACCAGAAAAAAAGAAAAAAGAGAACGCCACTTATCCAGCCGAAGACGTTATCGTTAGGTATCCTTGAGTTTTCGCAATTCCCAACCCACGCGCCAGTTCACGAGAAAGACAATTGAAAGAAACGCAATAAACGAGGAGATGAAAAAGTGAGAAAATCCCAGAGACCGCGCGAAAACATGATGGTCAATCATAGGGAGGGCAGATTAGGAAAATGGTAAGAATGCGAGGGGATGGATGTGCATTGGCAGGGGGTAAATGTTGTCGCACATCCTTAGGGCCAAGTACAGCGCCACGCAAGCGTGAATGCAGAGAAGAATTTGCGACATGCCGGAACAACTATGCAATCCGAAAATCAAAAGAATCGGGGACACCGATGTTACTAGGCATCAGCGACGGGTTCCGAAGAAGTCGGGGCCATAGCAGAAGTCCCACTGCGCAGAGCTTTTCTAGTCCGGGGAGCAGGGCTGCCTCGCGATTCGCGAGAGCGCTTGAGGCGGTCAGCGCGGGCCTCAACTGCTGAAGGCTTCTTGCTGAGTGGGTAGTATTTGAACAGACTAGCGCCGCTGTCGGTGCGAACTCGCTTGTTGGAATGTCCAGGGGCAGTGCCATTGGACGGAGGAACGGCTTCGCCGGTCTCTCCCGTAGAACCACGAAGGCGGGTGCTAGAAACACCACCGGGAGCACCAGGAGCGACGAGAGAATCAGATGTGTCAAAGTCGGGAGTGACGGGGTCAACAGCGAGATCGTAAGCAGGATCCGCAGGAGTGGGAGATGGAGCATCATTTTCTTCGACGTCAGTGAGATCTTCCTCTTCGGCAATCTCTTTCTCGGGCTCAGGTCGGTTGAATAGAAGGCGTGGTTTGATAGAAGCTCGGGTGAGAGGCTTGATCTTCTTCAAGATGTCGGGCTCATCGGCGAACAGGTCAGGGCGGCGAGCCAGAAGGCCGAGGTCATCAGAATCCTCATCCTCATCTTCCTCCATTTCATCGAAGCGCTTGAAGATTTTCTTGCCGCGGCTAAATTGCAGTTAGAATGTGTCGATATGAGCAGGGGTCAATAGTACTTACCAGACATACCAGACTCCATCGTCGTGGCTGGTAGTCGAACGAGTAGCGGGTCTGCCAGGCTTGGAGGCAAAGGGATTTCCACCAAGGTTACCGCGCACAGGAATACGGTCGCGCGAATCGGTGTGAATAGGGAAAGATGGGATACCCAGTTCGCGCATTAAAGCTGGATCAGTTTGACCTCTGACATGAGGAGTGTATCCAGTAGAGGCATTGAGAGGGGTCTCAAAGGTGTCAAAGGTGTCCATTGCGATATCCATCTTCTTACGCCTGGGGGCAGAGCTTGTAGGAAAGATGGCGCGAGAAGTGGAGGAATCAGTGCCGATGATTTTCTTCTTGGAGGGTGTTTTAGCAGGAGTGGGCAGAGCGCGTTCTGCAGATGATCGAGATGGTTGACCAGTAGAAGTGTGGGATTGTGAGGATTCAGAATCTAATGGTGAGATGCGAGAGGTTGCAGCCTTTCTGGAGAAAGATTGGCCAGTTCCAGGTGAAAAGGGCGAGAGAGTTCTCTTTGGAACACCATTTTTGTTTGATGAACTGGAGTGACTTGTAGGTGGCGTAACTTGGCGGGTCTTGACTTCCCGCTGACTTGCTAGTCTAGCAGAATAACGTGTAGGGTAGGGTTCGTAATTATCATGCTTGGGCCCAAAACGCGGTGCTCGAGGTACCCGGAGCGAGGTTGGTGAAGGGGGCGGCGGTGTTGACGCCATCTTGACCGAAAATGCGATTTAACAAGTTTATAAAGACCGATAGCCTTATTGATAAAGATATGCGTTATAGACTGATCACGGTAGACGTCTGTGTTGTTGTGGAATTTCGCGACCTTAATCAAGTGTCGAGGATAAGGGTTGGAAAACCAGGGCGGAACGCGATTTGGCCGAATGTTGTTCGAGAATAATAAGAGCGCAAGTGAGATTGATGGGCTCAAAAAATCAAGCGTAAATATGCAATTCGCAAGACGAAGCTAGAACAAAGAACGATGAGAAATGAAGGAAGGGTGAGGTTGCTAGGAAGGGCTGGATGTTTGGCGGCCCAGCCACATCCTTCACCGCCCGATAAATGGGGTGGCTGAAAGCCCCGCGACTGACTGTTGACGTTCTTCCTATTTCGTTCTTTTCTTCGTTTTGTGGATTTTTAATTCAATCTACTGAGCTCTCTTGATTCGCTCCTGCAACCAGAACCTACTGAGGCATCGTGCCCATCGAAACTGTACATACAGCAGTCCCCGGCACAAAATCAACATGGCATTCCGCAGCACAGCAGAGGAAATGGAGAGACTCCAGCTATCAGATGACGACACAGAGGATCTTTGGAACTCTCCCTCAAAGCGTGGAGCACACAAGAAATTCGACTCCCCACCCTCTGACAAAAAAATCACACCGGAACCTCGAGCTTCCCATGATAGTGGGGATCCTCTATTCGATCGCAAAGAAGCGCGAGAAGCCGCACTCCACACCGAATTGCAGGGTGTGCGGAACATCAACGAAGTTATTGAAGGACTATTGAGTAGCCTTGACTCTGCAAAAGGAAATATGGAGGTATTATGCTTTTCTTTTACACCACCAGAACCATTTCTAACCACATCTAGACGGTATCGCGAACGGTCACCTCGGCATCCACCCTCCTAAATACTTGGACCCGCATTCTCTCTCAAACCGAGCATAACCAGCGATTGATCCTTAACCCCAATTGGCAAGGTGCTACCCAGGATGTTGCCGATATCGAAAACGAAGCGATCCAAAGGCAGCAAGCAGCGGAGAGACGTGAACAGGCACTTCAACAACAAAGAGAGGCAGCAGCACGCAAAGCGCAGGAAATGGAATCGAGACGCACACAGGCTACAAGGGGCACTCGGGGCACTCGGGGAACCACCAGAGGTACAGTTCGAAGCACTGGCTTGGGCAGAACCCCGAGTGTCAGTAGTACATCGCGAACGGCAACCCGAGGCTCCTCGGCAACCAGTCGGGCAGGCAGTGGGATCGCGCGGGGAAGTGGAATCTCACGCAGTCGGGGGAAGCCTTGAATAATATTTGTAGCTTTTTATGTATCATATGACTTGTTCATGCCCAATTATGAAAATAATCGAAAATCAATATACCCTTTTCGCCTGAGGCCAACGCGTCGCGTGTCCGATAACGATAAGGATTTACCCCGACATGAATAGTTCTCCTCCCCTAACTCTGCTCACTTCATCCTACGCATCATGAATTTCGCTCCCTACCAAGACGAATCTCCAGATATTGAGCGTGCTCTATCTCCTCCAAATGATGGCTATCGCGTGTCTCCAAACCTCCGCTCCCCGCGAGCTTCGCTCGATGCACATGTGAATGTATTCACCAGTCACAGTTACCCCGGCGCGGGCGTTGCGACTCCAGGGCCTTTTGAGACAAGTCTCCCCCTCCGAATTGAGGTGGAGGCTATGCTAGCCTATTTACTTCTGCCCCCGGTCGGAGGTGTACTATTGTTGCTTATTGAGCACAACAGTGACTACGTGCGGTATGTGCCAGACATCGGGTCTCTCTACTGAACAGTATGCTAATTTTCTTTGTAGGTTCCATGCTTGGCAGTCGAGCATGTTATTCGCTACCATGTTTGTGAGTCTTTTGTTGCCCTCCCGGTCGCATATTTGCTTATATTTGTAACACAGGTCGTTCACCTCCTCTTCTGCTGGTCCAGCTTCCTTTCATGGACACTTCTCATCATCGACCTTCTACTCATTGGCTTCCTCGGCATGCATGCCTATCAAGACGGTGAGTCTGCCTCTAAACAATATCTTCTAGTGGCATCAATCAGATACCTAATACTAATCACTCATTTATAGTCGACACCTTGGACCACTTCGAGGTTCCTATCTTTGGTCGACTGGCCAACTCTTTCGTTGATGATGAATGAGCAGAAGTAATTGTTTCTTCGGTTTCTGCATGTATTTGAATTCAAACGGCGGAGGAGCATGTCTATTCTTCATATACCCCACTTGCCAATGATTGCTTGCTTTGGTCTTTCTTCATGTACAGCTTGTGCTTGATTCTGTGAATAATTTTGTCTGTATAATGCTTCTTGTAGATTTGAATGTATTATCTTATTGCTGGGTTGAATATCTTACTCTGGTCCATGGCACCAGAAGTCGTACCTGATAAATTCTGTTCGGATTCTACAATTGTAATGGACAATAATTTTAAACTGTCCCAGGGAAAGCAAAACATTGAGGTATGACTACAGCTAGCAATAGCAACAAGATTTTTCTTGAGCATTCGATCTATACTTCCCATGGCCTGGCATCAAATGCTGCATTCACCAATTTAGGTCTACATCTGCTTAGAGCCAAGCTAGGATCTGCTTGTGATACATTGGAAGGACACAGGGGCGTGTTTAGGGAACGGAAGGATCGAATATTCTAATCTCACATAGGTCTCTTTATCTTAGATATCATTGTATATAACTACGATCATATATATGAGCGACTATTAAATAATAGCTAGATCCCACTCGGTAGTAGTAATGCCGTTCTTAGGCCGGCGGGTACTGGACTTATATACTTCTGACCGCGGCGTATATATCCTTGGTCATCGGGTACGGTATTTCTAAATGAAGGGTTGCGCTACTCGGATATTCTGCCTAACTCCTTGTCTAGCTGCGTCTCCTGTTCGCTGAGAGTGGACAAACCCACCGCGAAGGGTTCGGTTGCCTGCGTAAAGCCGCACTGCGCTTGCTCTTCTCCAAGTCTACACGATCCGGGCTTAGTCAAACGCCCTCCTTCTTTCAAGCATAGTGTGATATATGTATGCGTTGACTGTCTGACCGGACTCAGCAAGTGGAGTGCGAGTTGCTTCTTTATCGAGTCTACTATTTCGGTAGTTGAAGGAGGTGGAAGAAGAAGAAGAAGTGAGGTCCCGATGCCGGTATTGAGAAAACTTGAGACAGAGCAAGAGAAGGGGGAATGTTGTAGCCCTCGGATGAATTCGAGGTACAGTGAAAGGAACTGATTGTAGCAGGAAATTACGAGTATTGCCGTTGCACATGCGTCGTCTAGTGCCTGCGTTGTGTGGGTTTGGAAGGTAGTAGAAGGCCGCGAGCATGGGTTGACAAGGTCAGAGCTTCCTGTTCTGGGAGAGGCCATACTATTTGTGTAATCGCTGTGGATAATGGAAAATAAAAAAGGACTGCGAGAACTGAATCATCTGACTGGCTTCGACGGAGCCAGTCCGAGTCCTGTATAGGTCGAGATGCAATTGAAAGAGCCGTCCATGCATTCTTCGGCATTTTCAGTCTTATCACCCGTTCCAGGTCTATGCCTATGGTGACTCATCTGGCGATAGTTGAGAGGACGCTGACCGGAGGTATGGGTATGATGGAAAGCTTCAGGATTGTTGACCGCACTATTATACCCCTGCGATACGGCAAACGGCACAAACATTGGAGTTCCTCCGTCAGCAGTTTCAGCATGATTGACGAGTCCAGTTTCAAATAGTGCTGATGCTGCAGCAGAGTGCGAAGCGAACCCAAATTGGCAACTGTCACTCTGCTTTTCGCTAGTCACAGTAACCTGCTGTTGCCCAAGGGAGCAGGCCCAGTCGTATCCCTGCCCACTCACAATATGACCTCCCCAGGAGTGAGCAGTCCCATAGCCAGCCACGGTGTCTTCGTCTCTTTCAACACCCGAGCTTGAACATGCATGTACCGGGGTCTGAGTATGGGATGTCGGTCGAGACCGAACTCTCCTCTGGCCTGATCCATTGGGGGAGACTATACTCTCCTGCGTGCGGGATCTGGGCGCCGATGTCTGCACGCACTCTACCCCAGCACATTGGCATCGTAAGTAGGGTCCGCTATCGGTCCTCTTGGTGCATCGGACCTTATAGTAGTGACACCGATCACAAGATTGACGATAATATTGATAGTGGATATTTTACTATACAATGTTAATCCTGGAAGTCGTACTAGGTTGATATACTAATTACTCTGTGACCATGTTAGCAATGACTAGATAGGAACCTCTGGGGGTTAATTTATATCAATGATAGGTTGACCATCTAAATATATATCTACTTTACTTGGCTGTGGGTGTAAATGGAAAATGACATTGCATAGTAATATCAGCAAATCTTATGATATGAGGTGACTTAGTTGATTTTTTGACTTGGTTTTTGGAGAAGTATGAGGATGATTCTTACGTAACAACATTGTTGCCCTAAGTTATCATCTCACCTCGCCCTAACCCTAACAACAAACCAACGATGAAGAGAACAACCGCCAACAAGGGGCATATTAACAACAATGATATGTATGGAGTATGTTCATAGTATATCAGGGAATGGGGATGTTTACATTTATATCGAGCGTAGCGCATACAATGTTAGCTGTGCTATTGCCGTTTCCTTACCCTAAAACGGAGCATATGTTGAAGAAGAGGTTGTTGTATCTATGATATTCCGTCTGTAGATGGTACCTTATATATTTATATCCAAATAATGCCCAGCAACGTATTGCATATTGATAGGGAGGAAAAGAATCTCACTGAGTCTTCTTAACGCTCCTCCTCTCCATTGCCACACTCGCCAAAATCGACAAGGAAGCCAACGCAACAGGGATATACAGCGTTTGAATCACCGCCTCATCATATCCAGAAAGCACAGCACCGAGTCTAGCAGACCCGATCTGCTCCCTCACATCCACCAGACCTCCGTGGTCAAAGATGCTCCGGTCAGTCCCCGGCGCGTACCGTTCCACTTCGATGGCCAGTCGGCTCTGAAACAGCACAGCAGAAACCGAGACAAAAAGCGCAGATGCGAGGAGCCCTGTGAACCCGGTGATTGCAACCCCGGTGGCAATGTCCTTGTCTGGGAGAACGGTCTGCACAGCGAACACTGGCGCTTGAAGACCCAGGCCCACGCCGGCGCCGAGAAAGGCCATGAGTAGAATGATTTTAACCAGGGTGTCATTGTATTCGATTGTGGTGAGCAGTCCGCAGGCGATGGGCGTGATGACAGAGCTGATGAGCATAAAAGCTGTAGTAAATATAGATATTGTTAGTTGCCTTTTCATCCCGGATTCCAATGGAATGTGCTGCTACTTACGGTAATAATAGCCCATCCATGTGGTCCCTGCACCGGCAATGAGGGCAGTCACAGCCATGCCCGCAAAGAGCGGCAAGCCCATAGCGCCAGATTTCGTAGCACTAAACCCGCGCACCCCCTGGAAGTAGATCGACATATAGTATTCAGTAACGGCAAGGATACCATTGCTGCAAGCATTGAACCAAGCCCCAGCCAGAATACTGCGCTGCGTCATGATGCGCGGGGGGAGGGTAGCATCTTCCTTCTTACGATGCTGCATGAACGCAAAGACGCCAATGAGGACGGGAAAGAGTACCAGCAGCACGATGATCCGCGCATTGGTCCAGCCGTATTTGATGCCGCCCCATTGCAGCCCGATTAGTAGGCAGACGATGGCAGGCACGAATACCAGCGTCCCCGGGATGTCGAGCCGCTTGCATTTTTCCACCACGGGCAACCCGGCTTCATGTGGGGGGTTCGCTGGCATTTGGAACCCGTATGCGATGAACCCGCTTGCGATGGCCCCGATGGGCAGGTTAATTCCGAAACAGGCCCTCCAGGAAAAGGCGTCGATTAGCACGCCGCCGATCAGGGGAGCGATCACCATGGCTATGTTTGAGCCTGCACCTACTAACCCGGTCCAGAAGGGCCGCTTGTGCACGGGCAGCTGACTGGTCAGCAGTACAATGCTGCCTGTCTGGATACCGCTGCTGCCTAGGCCTGCGATGGCGCGGCCCAGGATGAACGTCGCGCTGGTCGGGGCGACGGTGCAGAGGAGCGAGCCGAGCTCGAAGAGGAACATGGATACTAGGAAGATGGTTTTCATGGGGAAGACGGTGTACAGCCGGGCGAAGAAGAAGATGAAACTGCTGGCGATCAGCTGATAGGATGCTGAGTACCATCCAATGTCGTTTAGCTGCTTGAACTGGTTGGAGAGGCTGGGGACGGCCACCGCGACGATGGTCATGTCGAGGCCGACAAAGACGACGCAGAGGAGAATTGAGAAGATGACGAGCCCTCGCTTGAACCCGGTGGGATATACGAGAACATCTTCAATCTCGAGCTGCTCTCGCGATGGCCTCGTTGCCGCTGGGGAACCTGGAGTCTCTGTCGCGGTCGGCATTCCACGGAAGTTCCGTTGTCGTTAGTGTAGAAGGTGTTGTAATATTGATGGGGTTATGCAGTGTATAGTATACCGAATGGTTGCCAGGGAGGGGTCAGAGTTGATGGGGAAGGAATAGTCCTTTGGGAGATTTATTGGAGTTGCCTCACGCCTCGCGTGATGACCAGGGTTACCCCTCCTGCAACTGGCTCACAGGAGTCAGTTGGGGTAATGGCAAGGCTTACTACCCGATGGCAATAGGGTCTTGTTCATTGATTGCCTTTATCAATGAAGGTTAGTTTCGGAAGGTAAAGGGGAAAAAATATCGAGAGCAATCTGGATCACTCTTCATGTCTTCATGCTAGGATTTCCTTCTATCATCTATACATAAGTTACCATGCAGAGGGAGCCATAAGACCAAGGCTAAACTCCGGATATTACGGCAAAACGGCCCGGTCCTACCGTCAACCTCGTAATGAGAAGGTAAAAACTCTCCAAGATCGAAATTCACTGAGAGACTTTCGTATTGAGGTGCTAATTCTCTTCTCTTTCAGTCCTTGTTAAAGAAAACCACCTGTACAGTAATATCATCTCGCAAATGGCGAGAAAACGGAGAGTCAAAGGCAAGCCGGCCAGCGATCAACTCATGATGATTTCCACCAAGGGAGTTACGCGTCAGATGCACAGCGGCATTGTCATCCTGGACGGTCGTTCGTTCCTCTACAAACCTCCAATCCACCCCTTCCCGGAACCGACCAAAGTCAAACGGCTCGTATGTTGGCGATTTGACTCTCTTCCCGTCGTCGCCCGATAGCCATTTGCCGACCAAGTCCACACCCTGCTGACTAGAAAGTGTATCCCACAACCCATCTGTCGCCATAATCAAAAACGAAGGTTTGGTAGGGTCGATACGAGTGCTGGTCACGACCGGCTCGGCTGTCAGGTAGGGTGGCGTGCGAACGTCGTACCTAGGCGTCAAGGGCGAGGGAGCATTGAACCTGCGTTTCATCTCTTGTTGGAAATCTAAAGACCACTTCCACCGACTGTCGCCGAAAGCTCGTGAGACCATGATTCCCAGCACCCGGCCATCCTTCACAATGTCTTCTTCACCCGGGTGTTCTTTGTAGAGCCGGGCGATCTCTTCGTCGTTGCGGCCGGATTGGTCTATCGATAGGGGAATTGCCTCCCAGCTGCCATCTGGCCTTTGTTGTCCCAACACTGCTCTTGAGTCGCCGGTGCATGCCACGTGCAGGGTGCTAGTAGCTGGTTCATACATAGATAGCAAGGCACAGGAGCCAGCATAAGCGGGGGCTAATTTCTTGATCTTGTCTTGCAGGGATTCGCCGCTTTGGGATGTTGTCAAAGCTTCTTTCACAATCAAGTCGTCGAGGTCCACGAATGCTTTCATTATGGCTTGTTGAACCAGCTCGTCTGGCACTGATTTCTCGTTTGATTGTGACTTGACTTCATGCAGAGATCGACGCACGAAAGGTAAAAGTTTCCTTGTTAGAAGATCTGCAGTTTGCCATCCTGCGTGGCCATCAAACACAGCCCAGGCCATCCATTCTTTTCCATCGTCCCACGGGGAAGACAGCTTGCCGTGGATATATCGGTCCTCGCAAGGGCTGTTAGACGCCAATTGATTGACGTCGTATCTGTTGACACCGGGGACATTTTTGGATTGATATGAGCAGGCACCCTTATATAGAATGTGTGTAACCTGCTCTTTCGAAGGACCCGGCTCGGTCACTATCTGCTCAGCTGGGGGACAGTTGATACGCGGTATCTCCTCCTGAGTGGTGGTCAGCCACAATAGGCCAGCTGTACTGGCAACACCAGCGGTCACAAATATTTTCTTCATGTTGGAAGCAGAGTCCAGAGTGAAAGATGAGCTGGGTTTTGAGTAAAATCGTTTAGTCGGTGTCCGTAAGATAGACGGGGTCATGCGACCTGGACGGGCTCGAGTAAGGCCGGATAAAAACATCTTCAAGTAACGGAGAGAGCTACGGCAAAACATAAAGGCACACCTGAGCGGTGTCTCCAGATGCGGTTACAGGAGGAGTGCAATTTTGTACTTGGACTCCAAGGGGTCAACAGTGGAAAGCCACCTGAGCATGATTGGCCACATGCAGTATCCCGGTCTCCACCTAGCCCTACTTCCAAACAAACCACTATCACAGATAGACCTGGGTCGAAGCAAATGAGTTGAATACAAGAATTTCTACAGATTACGAGGTATATGGTTGCTGTTAGATAGGAAAAGGCACACACGTGATTGTGCATTCAATTTGTATCCTCACGATTATCCGCTTACAGCTTACACACCACCAACCAGAGTAAAATCACAGAAGAAAAGGGCATCGATTAGAACAAGTCACATCATATCCTCCATAAAAAAAAGTGAATGAGCGTCCAACATTAGTCCATCAGTGATCAAAAGTAAAGAGATAAAGCGAAGAAAGGTCGATCACAGGCCCCAAAAAAAGTCTCCATAGCCAGAGATCCGTCATCATACAATTTCATCCGAAAAGATCCCACAAAGAGAAAATAAATGAAAATCCAACAAATTGACACGAAGCGCAATACCAAAAAGGAATCCCAAAACACGCGCGCTAAAGCTTCCAAAAACATCCGTAAGAACAGGATAACATGATTGAACGAGCTGTTCGTGATGTCGAGACGAGACTGTAGCACCATGTTGAGAACGAAAGGTAAGAATAGGGTAGAGTTAAAAAAAGGACCGTGAATGTGCAAAGAGGGTTGACGAAAGCATGGTATCTACATGAGAACATGAGAAAGAGTATCTCCGTCAGGACAATCGTTGTGAGGGTCGTGGCGGGTCGTGAGATCGAGGGGGTATTTAGATGATTTGCAGGTAGTTGCTCGGCACGAGACCGGGGTGGCCGCGGGCATTGGTGACTTCGGCTTCCCACCAGCCATCATCTTGGAGACGAAGAACAGCAAGGACATCACCCTTGCCGAAGCCGAGCTCCTCGGGGATTGCGGCATTGTAAGTGTACATGGCACGAGCTGTGAGGAGTTAGATAATGATATCCTATAATCAGGAGTCAGATAAAACTTACCGAAATGCAGGATGGGACGGCCATCACGACTGAATTTGCGTCCGGGCTCTGCAACAGCCAGAGTGCGGCTCCGGGATCTGCCAATAGGCGGGCCGTCACCATAAGTAGATGAGGGGCGACCGCTCGACCGGGCCGAGCCATATCCACCAGGGCTGCTAGCACCGTACATATCACCATGGTTTCCAGACAATTGCAATTCCATTCCACCGGCACTGGAGGGACGAGTTTGCTGTCGGAACTGAGGCTGAGGAGACACCGCACGGTGGCTCATGGCGGGCGAGGGCCTTCTCTGGAAGTCGTTGGGAGAGTAGGGTGGGTTTTCAGCGCGACGAGGAGTGGGCGACTGGCTGTACTGGCTTCGCATGCTGTTGGACTGGTAGGAGGCCGGGCTTGGGCTTGCTCCTCTGCTGTTCTGGCTCATGCGAGTATCCACACGTGGAGATGCAGCCCGAGGCGCAACCTGAGGACTGGCGCTCCGTCTTGGTGCGGGTGATCTGGCACGAGGGACTTCCTGGGTTTGACCGCTGTGCCTGGATCCCATGCTGTTATTTTGACCCCGAAGCATGGTCTGGGTTTGACCAGTGTATTTTTGGGTCGTCTTCTGCATTTGCTTGGCTGTGAAGGCGGGCTGGGGTGCTCCAAGTCGCTTAACCGCAGGGTCATTGTAAGCCGGAGGCGCTGTACCACTGGCATTGCTACCACCATACTGAGAAGAAGGCGCAGATGGGTTAGGGGTGGAGATACCAGCGTATCTGTCAGCGGAAACTCGAGTTGCTGACTGCTTTCCATTTGTCTTCAATTCAAACAGAGCACGTGCCATGGGATCCAAGTCATCTTCGGGAGCCTTAGCTGTCTGAGCCCCCTTACTTGGCGAGGTTTTCTCAGGAGAAGCAACGTCAAATACGTTGTTACCGACGTTGAGCTGGAAGTTGGCTCGGGGGTCAACAGGTTCCGGGCTTGCAGAGATACGAGTAGGAGGTGCTGCCGAAGGAGGTGGACCAGCTGGAGGCTTGGCGGGGCTGACCTGCTTTGGTGGGCTCATTTGCTTGGGCGGACTCGTTTGCTTAGGCGGACTCATCTGTTTGGGAGGGCTAATGGGCTTAGTCGGGCTCATTTGTGCAGTTGGCGAGTCCCATCCACTTCGAGGCGCGGCCTGTGGGGACATAGCTGGCTGCGAAGGAATAACAGGTCGTTCTTTATCATGGCGGCTCTTGCGACGGAAGGGGCTGTTGCTGAAGAATGCACTCTTCTTCTTTGGCGATGGTGACTGCTTGTCTTCGAAGGAGCTTGGAAGTGGCGCACTGTTTGTTGGCTTCGGGATGGACTTCTTGGTAGGCGTTGCTTCGACACTAGACATAGAGGTAGGGTTCGAAACTTCGCTTTGAGAGTCGCGGCTAGATGGGCGATAGGCGCTGGCTGCCGAGCTGCGCTCCGATGGGGGTCCGGCACGACAGAACATGGTCATACCATCTGTAGGGTATGCGTTGTGGGGAACGGCTCCAATCTCTCCATGTCGCTCGGGGTCATAGTTCGGGGGCGGCGCACCTCCACGACGGAGATCCAAAGGCGCAGGCTGAGAGGCAGGTTGCGGAATCGGCACTTCATTAACGGGAGGAGCAGGGTGGCCCATATGAGCTGCAAGCTCAGACTGCGGGTCGTTGTGAGACTCGAAGGTCGAGGGCTGGGGAGATGATGTACGGAATGCAGGGTTCATGGTGCGCTGGAACTGGGCAACCGAGTAGCCCTCGGCCTCATCCATCTCAGAACCAGTATCATCGTCTTTGCAAAAGTTGATGAATCGAGGAGGGTCTGGGATCTCCTGACCAGTTCCGCTCGCCTTAATGAAGGCGAGAATATCCTTCTCCACTTCGCAGTTTTCCAATGAAAGACGGACTTTCTCGCAAGACTATATCGTATGTCAACATAGAAAATTAGATATGGGGAGAACAAACATACAGCATCGTCGCTGACACAAACAGTCGAGGCAATGTTCGCATATGTCCACAGACTGCTCTTCGTAAAGTCGAGACGCTCCTCTTCCAAGTCTTGGAACTTGTCACAAGCAGACTTCCACTCCTTATTCCAACGTCCAGTAGTTTCCTCCAGTTGTTTAATGGCGGCTTCATATTCGTTGCTGTTGGACGCGAGCTGAATTTGGGTCTTCTCAAGCTTGGCTTTGTTCTTGCGCTCTTCTTGTCCCATAACCATATGTCCCTGCGCCAGATATCCTTTAATGCGAAGGCAATCCTGTTCATAACGATCGCGTGTCTGAATAGTCAGCTCATTGTTCCACCAAGTTACCGGAAGGATGCGTACTTTGTTGACAGCCGCCGTCTGTTGCATTTTAGTCTTGTGAAGGCGTTCAATGGTTTGTTGAATGATCTTCCGTCGCTCCTTGATACCACTGGCAAACGCAGCTAGTGGCTCTTCCAGTTCAGTTTTCATTTGTCCTGCGATTGCCGCGTGTGCCTTGGCAATTGCCTCTGTCTCCCCACGAACCACATCGAGCGAGTTCCGGAGCGATCCTGTCTCAGATGAGCCGAGTGACTTGCGGCAGAGAGCCTGGAGTTTGCGGGCGTATTCATCTTCAATAGAAGCTCGAACTGTAAGCAATATCAGTATTGAAAAATCTCGCGGCTGTGATGCATGCCACATACGGTTATAGAAAACCTTCAATTCATCATTTGTAACTTTTGAACTATGCATGCGGTCCAGCATAGGCTGAAGTCCCGCATCATCTTTACCCCAGAAGTTATTCGCAACTAGAGGATCGTTAACGCGTGACAAGGAATAATAATGGAGAACAGCATACAAGACATGGAGACCGTAGGTCCGTCTGCCACCGTCCCAGGCATGATTGAAGTTGAGCCTCGGCCCGCCTTTGCTCAATTTGAAAGGTGTGGAAATGACCGATAAAAGGAAAAGAAACAGAACAATGAGACTGTGCGATAAGAAACAACAAAAGAGACCCTTGGAGGTCGCAATGTGTCGAGGTTGGAGGTGGCCGGAGGGATGTACTGTTTACTGGCGCGTCTCTCGGGGCAACCACCGCGCAGCTGTCATGCACCCTATTACATAATCCCAGCCACTCGGCCCTAACTTAAGTTAATTTCTGCCTAAGATGGAAAGCTGCTTTAGTTACTCTTGTCTACAATTAAATTACCAGAAAAGTGGTATTCATAAAATATTTCCATTTCATTCTGTTCATTTGTTCGTGCAACCTATCTATGTAATCGAGGGCTCGTAAAATAATCAGTCACAGTCTATGTAGCCCAAATCAAAAACAAATCATCCCATAACCCAGGGGAAAAGGAATATACATGATGAATCGTAGTTTCTTCAAAAAAAACGCTCCGATAAAAACGCCAGTCGAGTATGCGCCCCCAAATCCGTGATGGGGGTAGGTCAATCTATTCACAAGCCAGTCCATGTTCATATTCAAAGGATGGCAAAATATGGTTCGTGTTCGCAGTCATGTCGATCCATAATAAAGATCTCGTAAGTTCATGAAAAGTCATGCATGCGCCATTTCATGATAAAACAGATAGCTGCGTGTGATCTATCTTAGTAGGCAACGGGGGTAGCAGAAGCGCTGGAGACGGGAGTAGAGACGCTGGAAGAGGCCCAGCTGCCGAAGCGACGAGCCACAAGCGAGGGCGAAGCGGTAGGAGTGGCGACGGAAGAGGTACCGGCGATGGGAGAGTACCAGCCGAATTCACCACGGACAGCAAGAGGGACAGCCGAAGTTGGGGTTACGCTGGAAGAGGGAGTGCCGGAGGCAGAAGAGTACCAGCCGCGGGCAACCAGAGCGGCCGAGCTGGAAGGAGTGGCGGAAGAGAACGCAGGCACGCTACTGGAGTATCCACTGCCGAACTGACGGGCAACCAGAGGAGTAGCGGAGACGGGCACGCTCACAGTGGGGGAGGGAGTCGAGGAGTACCAGCCACCAAACTGCCTGGGGACAAGGGAGACAGAAGAGGATGGGGAGGCGGTAGCCCACTGGCGGGCATAGAGGGAAGCCGAAGCCGAAGCTGAGGCTGTGGGCGAAGCAGACGAAGTAGAGTATTCGCGGACATAGAGAGCACCGGTGCTGGATGGCTGGGGGTACTCGCGGGCATAGAGAGAAGCAGAGGCAGAGGCAGAGCTGGAAGCAGAGCTAGCGTACTCGCGGGCAAAGAGAGCAGGCTGGCCAGCGGCTCTTAGGCCACGGCGGAAGAAAGAGTTCGATCCAGATTCCGGGAGAGCAATGGATGGGAGGGGAATATCAGTACGTGGAGCGGGAGTCTCGTAGCAGGGAGTGGAGCTGGTAACGCGAGCAATAGAGGAGCTCGAAGGAGTGGCGGTAACAGTGACAGTCACAGGCACAGGGTTGGCACCGGGAGCAGTGACAGTTGATGTTTCAAAGACAGTGTCAATCTCAGGAACGGCAGAAGAGGAAGATCCTCCGTCGACATTGACGACATCGTAGGTTGCCTTGCGGCGAGACAGGTCTTCATTCTGGGTGTTTGCGAAAGGAGCAGCATAGGTAACGCTGATGGAAGAAAAGGCGAGGAGCGCCGCGGTGGAGAAGTGCATTATGAAGAGATAGAAGAAGTTTCGCTGGTAATCGATGTAGAAAATGGACTAAGATTGAAGGATTGCAAAATGTAAACAATGGAGATGGAGAGTAGAGATGGAGTGAATGGGAGAGTTGAGGAAAGCAGCAGTAGAGGGTTTAAAAGTTGAAAGAAGATAATCTCAATCCATGAATCATATTGGCGGTTTCGGCCATCTTCCTGCCATTGGGCCAAAAATAGGCGGCTGGGATGGCTGGGGATATACAGACTCAGACCAGCCTCTACTTTATGCCTAAATTGAGCCCCACCCGGATCCACGGATGTGCCAACCACGCTGCCGGATAGCGTGGATGATCGACATTATGTAACCACAGTGGTGTGGCTGGGGGATCCACTCTGACACAACGTCGTGTTTCACTGTCGCCTAGTTACTTTTCTTAGAACCTCTAGAATCATAATGATGAGGGAATGACCCTGATCTACACGCCAACATAAGCATATCTTATTATTTCTGTGACTACTGCCTAGCTGCTGCGGCAGGACTCTACCTAGATAGCCAAATCCTCCACTCGTACCAGCCCACTCCCCAGCGCTGCACTTGCCCACGCACAACACGAAGGGTTGGGGTTCCACCCGAGGGCTGTGACGTGAGTGCCTTCTTCGTAGATTGTGGAGGTAGGGATGCCAGTGATCGGCTTAGTGTCGCTAGTCATGTGCCTGGCCAGTTTCGGGCTCTCTGCCCGGTATCCATCGAAAAATCGGCTGGTGCCTGCAGTGTCGGCTTTCGAGCTTGGGACCCATTCATGTGTGAACCACATTTGCTGCCACACTTGCTCCTTGTTGTAGACCACCCGGCGGAAAGGATTGGTTCCTAACACCTCCCCTGCGGCGCTCCCATACAGGACGCAGGGGTGCGAGAAACTACATGGAGCCATGGCCGAGACGTTGCTGGAGAATCTGCCTATGCCATTACTTGTAAAGAATCGTCGGATTGGAATGATGCGGGCGTATTCCTGTTCGTCGCCGGAAACGGCGGACTGAAGGATGGGGGAATAGCTGATGTTGGGGGATGGCATTCGCATGCGGACTGTTGAGACTTTATCGGCCACGGGATCGAGGATAGACCACATATAAGTTTCACCGTCCATGGATATAGTGATCATATGGTGAGGATGGTTTGGATACACCGATGTGATGTCCAACACGTATGTTGAGTGAATTGGTCGATAGAAGAAGGGAAGTGGTTCAGTTGCAGAGGATCCAATGTTCCAAATAGCCACAAATCCATTGCTGCAGCCTACTGCAATATCACTAGGAGATAACCAAGTGACGCATGTGCAGATTGTGTTGGGTGGTTTTGCTTCAAAAGCGGGTGACTGGAGTTTGACTGGAGCTTGCGTGTTAGTGGACTCCACCAATTGAGTGAATAAACACGCACTGTATTCTGTCTCTTTCGACCCTCGGCGTAATTTGATCTCCAAAACTCTGAATTTTCCGTCTGTCCAAACCCCTGCTAGTAGCCCGATAAACTTTGTTGCCTCTTCGTCATCTTCGTCCCGTTTTTCTCTAGGCAGTCTGCACCAAGACATCCGCCTCAGATCTCCCCAATCAGCACATAGGACTTGTCGTAACTTTGGTTTGCATTCCATGTCAAGAGTCCTCGTCGAGGTACCACTCTTTTTGGCTTTGAATTCCCAGATCTGGAGCGCGCAAGGAAAAGGCGGCGAGGGTTTGAGTGATGAAAGAGGTTCACTTCTATCAGTTTTGTACTGGTCCTTCTGCTCTTCAGTAATTGGTGCAACCACAGCAAGGTACTGGGCGAGACCGTCGTGGTTCGGAGCCCAAGCCATGCAATGGATCTTATGGCCCATGTTAAGAATCCATCCCTCTCGAATTTTATTCGTTTTCCTTTCTGGCTCATTTGTTTTAGCGTGCCTTTCTCCCCAGACTTTGCCATAATCAAAGGACTCATGGTATTCCAGGCTGAAAAGCTGCTGGTTGTCATAGGGCCCCAGAAGAATGTCGTGATGCCGGTCCTTTGGTTGTGGCAAGTATTTCTGGCGAGCTGCTGATTCTTCAATCTTCTTAGTGCGTTGTCGTTTCCGGAATCTCTCTCCGGGCTCTTTGCTATAGTACCAGTCCCATCCGCGCGTGCTTTCCCTCTTCACGTCGTCTGGGTGGACACCGTGCGTTGGTCCATAGACATGTCCATCCGGTCTGGGTCCTTCCAAGGTAGTGCGAGTTGGAAAGATCGAGTCACGTCCCTTGTTCCATATGCCACGGAAATAGATGGCTGCGATCAGGTCACGATCGTCGGCACCGAATGTCAGATTGTAATATGTACTTTTTGACAAATGGTCCTTGGGGTCAAGAAGACCACGAGAGTGTGTCTCGTCCATATCTGGCACGACTATGCCGCCGGTCTTTCGCTTTTTCAAAATCAAGTCGCGTTGCTGAACTGCCTTACTCCCTTTCTTGGGGACGGCCTTGGGTTCATCGAAATCCATTTCTTCGAAATCGGATTCATTAGGTGCTTCTTCCATCTCCTCTTCGGCATCTTCTTCGTCGTCTTCGTTATCAATCCTGTCGTTGGCGTCGTCGCCAGAGGCGGCAACAAATTCCTCATCAGAAGGGGAGTCTTCTTTCTTGGGGCGCTTGGTTTTGCGCTTGGATGACGTTGCTTGTCCGCCTTGATCGGAGTCATCACTAATTCCAGCTATATGGAAAGGATCCTGGGTGTAAACTTTCTTGGGGCCCGTGACACGCCCAGACCTGCGAGAGGATGACATCTTGGTTAGATACGTCGCGTCAAAGACGGCGATGGCGGGCATGCATAGAGTCCATCCAGTAGCTTGCAGCTCAAGCAGAGCAGAGAGACTAGCCAAAGCTTTTCAAAGCCGACTTTGTGTGTTGAAGTGTCCACTGTTTGATATGAGAGAATGACGTGCAGCTTCAATGGATGAGGGCCAAGGCGGTGACGCCAGTCCCAAAACGGTTAGTGCATGTTTGATTTTATTGTTTATTCACGGCCACTTCTACGCAAATCACTCAGTCTACCACACCCAATACATTAAAAGTTCTTCAATCAATGTATTTGTTTTTTTTTTTTTTTTTTTTTTCTGGCTGTCCTTTTGTGGATAACTGGGTCCAATACTTTCAAGCAATATTATAGCGCAATTTCCTTATAAAACAAATTTCTTGCGCATTTGACCTATCGCATTCTGCTCAGATTTCCCTCAACACCAAGCAACAATCCATCACTTATGATGGCGGGCAAAACTGCATATCACCTTTCAGAGTCAGAGGGATAATGACCTTATATAATACATATCCAACTCTGCGTCTCTCATGTGGAAACTCAAATCTTTATGAATGTTTGACAGCAGCGCCCTAATCCAGCGACGTTCGATACTTCTCTCTGATAGAAATTGTAAAGTTGCACTGTTACGTAGTCCAGTCTCCAAGTATATGGGTTACTCCATGGATGCAGCAACAAATCAAGGATATTACTGCAAAAACGGTTAAAAGTACGAGCAAATTGGGATATAGTATCATAAGATTGAGTAGAGATTGTAGTGTACAAGGCACGGCATCATTACAATATGCTGCAATAACGGGTGTCGTTGCGCTTTGGCCTAGGTTCAGGGCAGTAGCAATTTAGGCTTTCGTCATAGTGTTCTCAGGTATCAATTCCGAGAGCATCTCATCCAGATGCCTATGGATCGTCCAGTGTGTATCATCCTCGTAAACCTTGAACGACGGATTTTTAGTCAATTTCTTGACGTAGTACTCTGTCATCGGCAGCGGTGAATTCCAATCTTTCCCTGCATGCCAGATATGAAGGTTGTTGTATGTCATGTCTCCAAATTCAATGCCCCAGTCTTGTGATAATAATTTTGCTTCGTATGCTGCAGGGCCAGAGCCCTGTTTAAAGGGTTCAAACAAAGCGCGAAGAATCTCCATTCTTCGCTCTTCAATTGTCTTGGAATGCTTGTCCTGATTCTTTTGCAAATACCCATCAAGCCACCGAGTCCCCCTTCGTGAAGTCAGTCCGTTCCTAAGCATCCAAATCACAATGCTCAATGAACCTCGTAATCCAGCCGGCCAGTACTTTGCCGCAAGGGCTGATATCCGATATACCCAAGGCATATGATGTGCCCCAGCTTTCCAATTTCCTCCTCCAGCGAGAATACCGACTGCGGACATCATTTCGTGGGGAATCGCATGCGCGCACGCCAATGTGTAGGGACCACCACCAGAACCGCCCATCAGGGCGAAGCGGGAGAGACTAAGATGACGAGCCAAGGCTTGAACGTCGGCAGGCCAATCCATGATACGTCGATTGGGTTGTTCTGTTGATAGGCCGAATCCTGGTCGCTCGGGGGCAATCATACGAATCCCGCGTTGATGAAGAATGTCCTCCATGATAGAGCCCTCATAGCGGCACTGGGGGTAGCCATGGAGAAACATCAATGGATAGCCTGTTTCAGGACCATATTCGGCATACCCCAAGGTCCTACCGTCAGGAAGTCGCATTGTTTGATCAGCTCTGGAGTTTATGTTGATGTATCGGCATGTTGACTGCATGCTCTTGAGGCGAGGAAGACCTATCCTTGCGAGCGGGTTCATGTCAAATCGTCTTATTATTCTGGCAATTTGAGGCTTTCGCATTTTGTGAGCAGAATACGCCTTTATTGTAAGCAACACGAGGCAAGGCCGCTTTGAGTCATCTGATGAAATCCCCGTGGTCGCGATCGCCCTTGGCGGGTGCTCAGCTCCAAGCTGGCTAAGCCTAAAACGAGTAGTGAGCGCCGCTGTACTATAAGTGAGCAAATGTTATCTTGCATAGAATGATTGCAAAACCTGACAGCGGTATCCTAGTGCGCAGGACATAAATCATGGAGGATCCGACCCCGCCTACGTCAACTGCTGATCGCCCACCGTCGTTTTTGACACTCACAGTCTGTCAACACCAACATCTCTAACATGTCTTCACACGCGAGCCGCGGACTGTCGCACGCCGGCGTCCTTCATGAATATGTAAGGATCTCACCTCCTATCCATACATATCGAGCTAACTCCCCCAGGCTCCAAGACTGGTGGCCTTTGAGTTCACCCCACCATCAGATGTCAACAAGCTACACAGCCTGATCTTCGTAGGCGGCCTGACAGATGGATTCTGCACGGTCCCCTATGTTTCCAAGCTAGCCCAAGCGTTGGAAAACACCGAGTGGTCTGTCTTCTCCGTTTTGCTCTCTTCTTCCTACGGAGGATGGGGAGTCGGAAGCCTCGATCGCGATGTCGAGGAACTCGGCCAATGCGTCCGATTCATTCGCGACCTCAAGGCGTCACGACAGCCCGGCGCTCCAGCCAAGTCTGCAAAAATCGCAGTTATGGGCCACTCTACGGGTAGCCAAGATGTGCTTCACTACCTCTATTCACCCAACTCTGGCTATGGCCTCCAGCATCAAGTTCGCCCTCCACTCGACGGCGCTATTCTGCAGGCTCCCGCGTCAGACAGAGAGGGTCTCCAAGCAATCATCGCCGACTCCCCGCAGCCCGATGAGCTCAAGAAGGTGTACAATGAACTTGTAGACTTTGCTAAGAAGCAGCCATACACGGAGAAAAACATCGATAACGTTCTTCCCATGCATCTCACTGCCAAACTTTCATATCCTGCCGACACGCCGCTGAGTGCTCGGCGATTCTTGAGTTTGGTTAGCCCCGAAAGCCCTGAGCACCCATCTGAGGATGATCTTTTCAGCTCCGACTTGAGTGATAAGCGCTTGCAGGAGACGTTTGGAAAGATCGGTACGCAAGGAATCATCCAGTCCAAGCTACTTTTTTTGTATTCGGGCAATGATGAATACTGCCCGCACTGGGTGGACAAAGAGAAACTGTTGCAGAGGTGGCAGCAGGCTACTGAAGCGGGAGGCAGCTCATGGGATACGGAAAACAGCGGTGTGATCGTCGGAGCCAGCCACAATGTCAAGGATGAAGGTCAACAGGAGCTTATTGATCGAGTTCTACGATACCTTCACAGCCTCTAAGCTGTGGTATTATAGAGATATAGAATGCGTGATCGAAAGACAGAGAACATTGAATCGATATGGACAATAAACAGGTCATTCAACACCACCCAAAAGTGCACGGATTTGAAATCGAAGAGGTCAGAAAGGGGTATATCACAGCACAGGGCAGTAGAGTAGACAGTCCAGACATGAATCGGGTCTGGACTTTGAGACAAGATGAATTGGACCATTTGCGTAAAACAGTTTCCAGTGGCAAAGCGCATTGAACAATTTCAAACCTTCAGCCACAGGTTCATCACACCCTTGAGGTAGTCAACAATCTCGGATCCGCCCAGCTTGCTTTCGCCGTAGAGACGATCGACGAAGGTAATCGGACACTCGCGAACTTTGTAGTGCATGGCCTTAGCACGGACCATCATCTCCATCTGGAAGCTGTACCCCTTGCTCTCAGTGTTGAGAATGACCTTCTCAAGCACATGTTTCTTGTACAAGCGGAAACTACCGGTCAAGTCGCTCACACCAGGCATCAACATGACGTCGGCGATCAAGTTCGCAGTGCGCGAGGTGAATTTCCGGAACAGATCCCAGCCGTAGACTCCGCCCTTGATATCTCCGAGGTTCGCGTATCTGGTACCGGTCACAATGTCGGCATCGGTGGCCTTTTGGATCTTGATCATCTCGGGGATGAACTTGGGGTGGTGGCTGAAATCGGCGTCCATGATGACAACGAAGTTGCCGGTGCAGAATTTCAAGCCGTGGACGTAAGCGGTTCCCAGGCCGAGCTTGCCTGCGCGGGGCTTGAGGATGATGTGTTCTTTGCCATAGAGCTTCTGGAGCTGCTGCGCGATCTCGAGGGTGCCGTCAGGGGATCCGTCGTCAACGACGATGACCTCCCAATCCAACTTACTAATACAAAATACGGATTAGCTACTAATTGTCAGATTCAGTTCGAAATGGGCGCATACTGCTCGTTGAAGGTCTTCTGGATCAGCCAGACGATAATAGGGAGGTTTCTCCGCTCATTGTAGGTAGGAAGAATGACAGAGTACTTGTGAGTCGCGCCCATTTTGAAGGTCGTAAAATGTCAATTAAAGAGGTAAGGAGCGGTACAAGATCAAGAAGATCAAGGAAAATAGAAAAAGAAGCGAAGAGTAGGGAATGTATGGCAGCTTGTTGCATCCGGCAACGCCAGATCGCGGCCAAGTCGCCAGATCCGGCGTCGACCGCCCTGGCAGAATCCGATAGCTTATCAGATGTTTTGTTCATCGCAGCTTGCCCAGGTGGACTCTTCTCACTGCTGTCGCATTTGGAAGTTTTCAGAATGAATCCAGTATCAGAAAAACATCACCGGAATGCCTCTAGGTGTCAGCGCCACTCCATTCCTCATCAATCTCCCAAATTGCCCCTTACTGATTGCCTGTGCAGCCTCTCGGCCCCGCAGCTCAACAAGAGGTCCTCTAGATGCATCAGATGAGTGAGCATTGTGTCTTGGATTCCACCGCTACATCCATATTCTAATAAAATTCAGTCCACTCGCCCCCTCGTGCTTACCCACTTCGCCAACCAAACGCAAATCAATGCTTGCTTCAGACCGTTTCACCGGGGCATCATTTCATGAGCTAGATCCGCTCGCCCCAGATGATCTACCGGAAACATTAGGAAAGGACCTATCTTTCCTCCTTCGGCACAACATCTACCACACTCTCTCCCATATCGATATTCCCCCACCGTTGCGCACCAAATTCATTATCCTTAATCCGGGAGAACCCCTGTCAACCTCTCTTAGCACCCTTGAGAAAGTAGTGGCTGAGGGTCGGTTCCTCGTCGCAGCGCATTTCGCGGCAGCCATTTTGACATCATCCTTGATCTCTTCGACGGATATCAAACTGATTTTCTCCCTATTTTACACACGACTGGCATGTTTGGAGCTGTCGGGAAATACAGTCCTCGCAGCACAAGAATCAAAAGCTCTCGAAGATTTGAGCTCCGCATTTTACTATGTCGACCTGACTCTAGAGAAGCCTGGGGCTGTTCAAAATGCTGATAATGAACAAGCCAATGCTCATGCGCCCGATCCTCGTCACATTGTCCCTTGGCCTCTGCGCGTCCTGGCCGTACGGCTCCAGAGTATTGGCTTTGGTGATTCACGCAGAAGCATTGGTGGACTGTACGAGATTGGTTTGGAAGCTCGCAGGGAAATAATGCGGAGCGAAATCAGTGAGGATGAGCGGAAAATATGGAGAGAGAGATTGGCAGATCTTGGTGTCAGAAGTGTGAACTCGTTGATAGAAATGGGTGATTTCGATGCAGCCAGACGATCTCTCGAGGCCTTGCGGGTACCTGGACCAGAGACTGAAACCACCAAATTCAGGAGAGCATTGTTACTACTACGGATTGGTGACCTTGATGCGGCAAGTCAGGTATTTGGCGCCTCCAATGACACCAAGGAGGCTGCTTTATTGGAGCCTCTTTTGAGCATGGCAGAAGGCCGTTACTCAGATGCTGTATCTCAATGGCGCACCCTTGGCGAAGATAAGACACGGACAGATGGGGCTCTGGTAGCTCAGAACATGGCAGTGTGTCTACTTTACACAGGACAACTGGATGAGGTATGTGCTTACTTGCAAGGGTGCGTTGAAACCCTAGTCGTCGAACCTGCTGACTTTTCTCCAGTCCCGTCAGATTCTTGAGGCTCAAGTCTCGGCCAACCATTCGTTTGCGGGGTTGATCTTCAACATGGCAACGGTCTACGAACTTTGCTCCGATAATGCAGGTTATATGAAGGGGCAACTGGCTGATACGATCTCGAAACAGCCTGTTACGGGACACACTAATCTAGATCGACCAAACTCAGATCTGAAGTTATAACACTCGAATTTAAAGTGATTCGCCCTGGAGGCCAACGAATTGAATCTCATGTAGATGCCAATCTGAACACTGTCTAATGAATACACCATGAAAAATAAAATCTGCCAAAGACTTCCAACCAACGCCATGCATGGAAACAAACGCCACAAGATGCTTTTGTCCAAAAGAAGAACACAACTCCATGTACTCATACCGTCGTTGACTCCGGCTTCGGCGGGGCACGCTGCCGCGGCCGTTTAATGATAATCTTGTCATCTTCCCTCTCCCAACCAAGCTTTTCAACCTCAACCAACTTGTCCCACGTCCAACTCCGCTCATCACCAGTGCAACCACCCACAATCCAACTGATATGCACGTTGAGATAAGCACTACCAACAGCCTTGAGTGCGTGCCTGCGAACACGGTCCGAGGCCCAATTCATCACAGCACGCGTGTATGAGTCGACGCTGTTGTGCAATTGCCAAAAGATAACCCAATTATCGTGCAACAAGGCCGCCAAGACTTTATCGACCGTCTGCGAATGGAATGCATGCTCCTTTCGCGCCCGAGCGCGCAGCTCGAAGGCTGCAACCATGTCCTGTTGGCGACAGGCATAATCCAAAATTAAATAAGTGACCAGTTCCTTGGCTTCGGAGTCTGGCAGTGGGTGTGATTGGGAGTGTAGTTTATCGAGGCTATATCGCAGAGAGGGGAAATACGACGGAGGGTGATGCGCAAGAATAGACAAGCGGATCGAGAATACGTGGACTCGTTGTGAGAATGTGGCCGTGGTATTTGAGGCTGTTGCTAGAACAGCTTCGCGCAGCTTGCGTAGGGACAGGAGGAGTGTGGATAGCTCTGTTGACGGGGGCGGGACACCCCGCTGTGAGGGGGTTGATGTTGAGGGTCGCTGGGCGGCGGGAGGATTGGAGGTTGCGTCATTTGAGGCACTTGTGGGTAGGGAGGCTAGTGCAGCATCGAGGTCTTTGGAGTGGTGGGCGCAGAATCGCATATATCGGTCGACTATCTTGTCAAAGTACTCGGTCTGGACTTTGGGGTCTAGCAGCCTGCGAATGCATATTAGTGGTGTTCTGAGAGGGTGCGCATCTCAGACACACTTCTTATCACCCTTTGACACGAATCCCACATTTTCCAGGGAGTCCGCCACGGGGCGTAAGCGGCTCATGTTTTCCGGGGTTGGCTGAACACATGAACGAGCGTCGTTGATTGATATACCTACTGTTTGCACTGTTTGTACAGGCTGTCCCGAGGCTTTTTCCCAACAGGGCGATTCCGCTGGTTTACCCCAACTGCCCAACACTGTATCTCTCCTTTTAATTCGATCTTCTAGGATATCTTCTCTTTTACCAGTTTGATTGATTTGTTTTTCTGCTGATTTGTATATGTCCTGCTGGGCGATTTCAAAACTTCTTACCATCCTGCCATACTTGCATATCACATGTGATGTCTCGCCAACGTCGCCCTATTGACGAGCAGGTAAACAGTCAGCCTGCAGAAATAGCCAATGTCCTCGAGGTGCCTCCCAACGTCGTCAAGCGACTGCTTCATTGGGACGATCTACCTCATTGGCAACGCGATAATCATCACATCCATACTGGATATCGGCCCGCCTCGTCCTCGTTTTTAGGTTCATTTCAATCGCTGGGTTACGTTCACAATGAGACAGTCAACATCTACACCCACCTCTTACCGGCGGTGATTGCGGCACCTGCTGCGTACCAACTCTACCACTTGCTTGCTCCCCGATACCAGAATGCGGCCGATTCTGATATCATTGCCTTTGGCTGTTTCTTCGCGGGGGCGGCCTTCTGCCTCGGGATGTCCGCCACTTATCACACCATCTCGAATCATTCACCGGTGGTTGCACGCATTGGAAACTCACTTGACTATATTGGGATAGTGGGACTCATCGTGGGCAGCTTTGTTCCCAGCGTGTTCTATGGGTTTTATTGTGCACCCGAGCTCCAGCACAGGTACTGGACTATGATTTGTACTATTGGACTTGGTTGTGTCGTTGTGTCCATTTTGCCTCGGTTCCGCACGCCTCGTTGGCGTCCATTCCGTGCCGCCATGTTTGTCGGGATGGGCTTGTCTGCCGTCTTCCCTGTGCTCCATGGAGTTTCCCACTTTGGCTTCGACCAAATGCGACGACAGATTGGTCTCAGCTGGCTACTACTCCAGGGCTTCTTGTATATCCTTGGAGCAGGGATCTATGCGGCCCGAGTACCGGAGCGACTTATGCCCGGGAAATTCGACATCGTGGGGAGTTCGCATCAAATCTTCCACGTGCTAGTGGTTTGCGCAGCGATGGCCCACCTGACAGGGTTGTTGAAGGCATTTGATTATCGGCACAGCGGAACGGCCGAGACCTGTCAGATTCCACGAGGCTGAGAAGTCGGGGTCTGGCACAGCACAATCGAGGTTGGACAGCATACTCATGACGTTCTTTTAGAGGTAGCTTGCAATGAAACATTCAGGTAGCGTAAGTGACGTGACCAATGTTCAACAACCCTCTCGAGGGCCAAGTCCCTGCTGACGATGACTTGGATCAGTTATGTGCAACGATGACGACGAGAAGGAGATGAAGCGGTGAGTCCTGCAATGGCTGGATCGCGTCAGCCGCTGATGACCCGCTCTTTTCCTTTCTTTTCACATGGAGACGTTGTCTAGAGGTACTTGTGTGAGAGAACAACGCCCCAGCAAGGTAAAAGACCATCTGCCCTTGTCAGCGGTAAATTCGTTAGGTTCTCCACCAGAAACTTAGCCCAGAAATTAGCGCTTTCAATGTTGCATCAGGGTGTACGACCTTTGAACAAAAGTACCCCTAGCCGGTTTCCCATGCGCTTGAGGGACCCCATTCTGTCCCATCCTCCATCTCGAGCAGTGGTCAAAAACGAACGTTGCATAGCTGGGCGATTATGCTTATTTCCTAATTCGGATGGGTCAAATTGGCGGGTCTTCGAGATTGCCTCCTTTCAACTCTGGAGTAGCGGTGCCAGTTGGCATCCCATGCGTGGTTGATCAGATGGAAGCATCTGGGGTTTCACAGCGGCTGACCTCTGTATGCGGCTGCCGTCGGTACATGAATCCGGATGCCAGAGTGGCATTTCTGCTCCTTGAAGCTTGAGCTTGTTTATATATATCCAAGGGCAAGGGGGAGGGGGTGAGGCGTTTGCCTCATTGGATGTGTGTGGTATTATTGCATCCTGGCTTTCTATTTCTCATATTGCTTTTCCCCTATATCAAACCCGGGCCACAGTATCATCCACATCTTATTGGGAAGATCCACTTGCTTCTTTTGTCTTTTCTTATTGTTCCCCCCTAAACGGCCCCAATGCTTGCGGAATCCAATGGCAGTCCTTATGCTGGAGATGCACCTAAGCTCCGGACTGCATGCGAAAATTGCCGCCAATCTAAGGTGAAATGCAATCTGTCTGGCAAGAGTGTCTGCACCCGTTGCCTGCGCCACGGCTTACAGTGCCAATACGGATTCGCCAACCGATCCGGCAAACCGAAGGGTAGCAAGAACCGGGCCACTCTACGCAAATTAGGTCAACTACAAGAGGAGAAGCCGGCCATGCGTGGCTTTCGTAGTAGTCGGCTTGTGGCTCCTGTGGCCGACTTGGAACCACTCGGTAGTGCCTATGGGAATCACACTGCCGACCCAGAAATCGACGACGAAGTTAGTATATCCCCTATCCTATCCGGCACATTTCTAACAATGATCCACTATAGGTCCGTTTGATATCAAACCAACCCGGGTTCTGGGAAAGTCCCCGAAGCTTTGGAAATACAACAACACTAGAATCCTCCGTCTGCCCTGGACAATTGTCAACAGTCGAAGGCTCACCATTCACCGACCTCGTGGACCCCTGTCCAGCTATCCCAACTGGTATAGGGTATCCACATACACCAGTCACGCCGACGTTTCTATCCGGGGAGTCACTAGCAGAAGGGATAGCCAGCCCATCATTGGCAGGCTCAGTGGCATCACCATACCCACTCTCGCCATGCGAGTGTCTGGACATGCAACTGTTCCACATGAACCGGCTGAACCACCTCCTGGCCGGGTCTTTACCACTCCGACTCGACCACAGCCTGCAGACAATCAAATGCACATTCTGCACCTGCCAAATGTTCCTACAATGTACCAAATGCGCCAAAGACAGCACAAACCTCCTTCTAACCATCTCGGTCCTCAACCTCACGCTCCAGCTATTCGAATACTGGGTTTCGCGCGAAACACCTCGCGTCCCACGACCAGAACATGGCATCGACATCCGCTACGGATACTACGAGATCTGCCGCGAAGAAAACCGTCAGATCCGCAATTTTCTGTTGCGAGGCTTACTGCTGCAATGTAGAGAGGTATTGCTGGCACTGAAGATCGCTGCTACCGCCACCGATCTCCAAATCCCCACTTTGAACGAGGACGAACCGTCCGAAACGAAAGCGCCGGAAGAACACATCGCCCACTGGGTTCCTTCTGATCATTTTGGTCTACTCCCTGGTCTAGATGCCCAGCTTTCATCTGGTACGCCCAGAAGTGAAGGTCTGCTCCCTATCATTGCTGGCTACGAAGCTACCGTGTCGGCATTTCTACAATCGACTTCGTGGGGGGAATGTATTTGCGGTTCTGGACGGGTGATGCGCGACGAGTCTCTTTGAACGTATATCCACATATAGGAGGTCAACTCTGTTCTGTCGTTATCAGTGCGCCCAGGGTGGGACATGGATGGATGTGGGTGTGTAGAGAAACGGGCAAGGGAGAGAAGAGAAGCCAAGGATGGGATCGGATTCACGGGCTGGACAGTAAACGCAGGTCGGCTATATCAGGAACACGAAATGGAAAACATATCGCCTGTATAACGTTAACGTATGAAAGTGAACGAGTGTAGTCTGCCGTACAGTATATACCTGGAGTTATACCCCACACTGCTCGGTCCGCAACAGCCTCGGCAGTGACTATCGCCGAGAGCTCTCTATAAGAAACTCTCCCCTCTCACATCTCATAAGTTAACCAAGACTCTCATCTCTAACCAGATAAGACACAATATCCAAAATGGCCCCCTCCGACCGCCTGAATCAGGTTAATGAACACCTCAATTACCCGGCTGGTCTGCTAGCTGGCCAAGTCGCCATTATCACCGGCGCAGGCCAGGGAATTGGCGCAGAGGCCGCACGCCTATTTGCAAACGAAGGCGCCAAGGTCATTGTCGCTGATATCGATGCTAGTAAGAAGATCAATCAAGTTCCTCAGTTGTGCATGTCTAATTAATCTAAACAGAAAAGGCCAATGCCGTCGCTGACGCCATCAACTCGGCAAAGTCGGGTCGTGCCCTCGCTGTCGTTGGTGATATCCTTGATGGCGACTATGTTACCGAGCTTGTGAAGCGCGCTGCTGAGTTTGGGAATGGCAAGATTCATATTATTGTGAATAATGCCGGGTTTACGTGGGATGGAGTCATTCATAAGGTGCGTGAACTGTTGTCGGGGGGTTTGATCTCGGTTTCTCTTTTGATCCTTACTGTATCCTGGGGATATTTCACTGACTTATTGCTTCCTTGCATGTCTATAGATGACCGATAAACAGTGGGATACCATGCTAGCTGTACACAACACAGCGCCCTTCCGCCTCGTGCGCGCGGCAGCACCCTACTTCCGAGTTAAGGATCAAGAACCGCGCGTTATTATTAACATTAGCAGCACGAGTGGGATTCATGGTAATGCGTAAGTATCATCAAACCCAGTCTAATCCCGTATCTATATCCAACCGCTGGCTCTACATCCCCTTCCCTCCCACCCATCGACCATCCACAAACACCAAACTAACCAAAACAGCGGCCAAGCAAACTACGCCGTCGCAAAGGCAGGCGTAGTAGGCCTAACACGCACAATCGCCAAAGAATGGGGTCCCAACTTTGGAGTGCGCTCAAACACCATCGCCTTCGGCTACGTAACTACGCGCCTGACAGCCGCCAAGGAAGAAGGCGCCTTCATCACGACTCCCGATGGCACGAAGGTCGCGCTTGGTATTCCTGGCAAGCAACTTGCTAGTAAGAAGGGTTCTGCTGCTGAAGAGAAAAAGGCTGCGGATGCGAATGCTTATCCTGATATCCCGCTGCGGAGACCGGCTAGTCCTGTTGAAGCGGCGAGGGCTATTTTGGGGGTTGCTTCGCCTTGGTTTTCTTATGTTAACGGGGAGACGATCCGAGTTACTGGGGGCCGGAATATGTAGGTTTTATTTGTTGGTTTTTGTGGATGGAAGTGGTGGGTTTCGGAATGGATATATATCCGTTGCTTATTCTCATATCTATCATGAATATGAATACATCTACAACACAAGGGAACTATCATCTACGTAAACCAAGAAGATTCTAAACGGGGTTACAATAGAAGCCTCACACGCACAAACCTATCTACCACTAACTCGGAATGGACCAGTTGTTTCTTGCGTTTCATTCGGGCTGTGGTTTCACGGTGGCACGGGCCCATCACACGGAAGACCAAAACACCCCAAATGCGATCGAGTCTTGTTAGACGAGATAACGTTGGACAGGCAACTGTTGGAAGGGACAGGGGTCTGTATAGGTGAGTGGGTTTGGCCAAGTTTTGGCTTATGCAGGTGAGATGGATGTAAGTATAGTACTTCGTATCGAAGCAGGAATAACAATAGGTGAGGATCATGTATGTCAATGTAGAGTAGATCAAGTTGTATATATTGTATTGCATGTAGAAATGCGGTGTAGATTGTAACGTATTTTCGCAGTGTCGAGGTATCATATCGTAAGAATCAAGAGCGAATGGACCCGCCAATGCCAATGCCAAAAAGGAAACAAGTCTATGCACAGGACTAAACCGAGAGATATCAACCACCCATACAAAATATCCCAAAATATCCTTCCCAAAAGATGAACAGAGAAAAGAAGACATCCAGATCCCAGACCTATGTTGGTCAACGCCTCCCAATCCGAAACAAATAAACAAAACCCCGCGTTTCATCAGCCCTCCCAGGGGCGTTTCTCTTCAAGTCATAGTTCCCAATATATTAACACGGAACTGGTAAAAAAAAAAAAAGGCTCCTCCGGTATGTGTCGAAAATATTAAAACAGTAGAAAAGCAGGCCAGGGTAATCCTCAAAAGGGTAACCAGGCAGGTGTCGTAAATCCAGGGATAAATAAAGAGGAAAAAAATATATCCAAAAGGAAAGAAAAGCTGGTGGCCGAGTCCAGTGGATCATGATCAACGCGATCAACTTTTTGTTGTTTTGTCGGCAGCTTTTGGTATCCGCTCGATGGCGGAAAAAAGTGGAGAGAGTAAGGAGACCCGAAATATGCAGGATGGATATCAGGCAGAATTCAAGAATTCGCGCCTGAAGGCCTGAAGGTGGAGAGAAAAAGGGCGTAATATCATGCAGCATGCGTTATAATGGGTATTCCCATAGTGGAGCAAGGTGCAATTTAGACAGGGACCTCGAGTGGCAGGTTGGAATGGTAGCCCAACCCCCATAGGCAAATGGATCCGCAGGGTAGAAAGGCTCAGCGCAAGCGGACGGGAATACCACCTTGCAGTCCGTAATCTGGCCCGAGGCGACCGGCGACATAGTATTGTCCGAGTAGTCCTCGGTGATAGCAGAGCCGTCGGAGGCGGCAGACCGGGAGAAGGCCGAGTACTGCGACGAGTCCGAGGACGAGTCGGAGGGCTGGGCATGCAGGGGTTCCATGGGGCCCATGAACATTGGCATCTGAGGAATGTAGTTGAGGTGTTCCGGCACCCAGGGGGTCTGGGCCTGGGCTGGGGCCATGGGATTCTCCGTGAAGCGGGGACACTCCAGAATGAGCTGGCGCAGCTCGGGGATGGTGATGCGTTTACTTGGGTCGCGCTCGAAGACGCGGCTCAGGATACATACCATCTCTGGGGAGAGTGGGAGGATGGTCTTCAGGAAAAATGGGTCCTTGAGATAGGCCTGGAATGTGGAATCCTCGACGGAGGCGCGTTTCCATGGGTTGCGACCGCAGGTGAGGTTCACTAGGATTACGCCCAGACTCCAGACGTCGTTGGCGGCGGACATGTAGCAGGACATGGGGCGGGCATTGGACTGTTGGCACTCTAGTTTGGGTTAGCCACCTGTGTTAAGAAGACGCGAGGTTTGAACTTACCAGGCGACATGTAGAACGTGGAGCCGCATCCAAAGTCCGAGGTGAAGTAATCCGTGGTGGCCAAGCCAAAGTCGGCGAGCTTGACTGTCATTCCCTGGTTTGTAACGAGAACGTTCTCGGGCTTGAGATCCCGGTGATAGATCCCGAGGGAATGGCAAAACTGTACAGCGTCCAGGAGTTGGAGGAATACGCTCTTGGCTAAGGGTTCATTCCCGACAAAGTGGCCCTTGTCGGTGATGTTCGAGAACAGATCTCCCTCTGGGCAGAATTCCATGACGACAAAGGTACAATCCGCGGAATCCATGATGCGAACTAAAGAAACCACATTGGGGTGTTGGCTGGCCAGGTGATGAAGTCTAATCTCGCGCTGCTGGAACTTGAGTTGTCGGGGATCCAGTCCACTTTTGTTGAGGGCTTTGACGGCGTAGACCACGTTGGTGTGGATATCCACCGCAGTGTAGACCACGCCATAGGCTCCGACGCCCAGGACTGAGGTCAGTTCCAGCCGGTTGGCTAGGATGAATCCTAAACGGTCCTCGGGAGCATAACAGCGGGGAGTGGGCGAAGGTGGTGGCGTTGGTAACATGGCCGGATACATTGTTACAGTCGTCCTGGAAGAAAAGAAAGGGCAACGATGTCCAGGGAGATATTGAAGAGTGTCCTGAGGTCCACGGCAATTCACAAGGCATCCATTCCAATCCTCGGGTTATGCGTGGTCCGTGAGAGAGAGTGAGAGTAAGGAAGAATAGGAAGAGCTAAGAAGAGGGAGAGAGAGAGAGATGAAGGAGAAAGGAGAGTATAGAAACAAGGCAAAGATATGTGTAAAGGTATAAGCATGGAAGTATAGCGGCGAAGGGGAATATTAATAGAGAATGGCAGCCTCGTGGAGGATCCACATCAAAACAATACCAAATACATAGCAACACAGTAGGATAACAGTAATATAACACAATAATAATAAAATAATCCCAAATAATAAAAATAACACACAATCTATGATGCGTATAATTATAGCGGTGTATCATTCTGCCAATCATAATGCCATGTTTCTTCTTGCCCGCATCCGCCACCGCCCGTGATTGGTCAGCTCCACATGACGATCGACTCCATGCTGCAGAATTCCCCCTATTCTCCTTCTTCCCTTCCTCTCTGTGGCCCTCCCTCTGTGGCAATACGCCCACGTATTCCTAAACCTCCTGACACATTTGCCAACGCATTCTCCTCATGGCCCCCTTCCCAGCCCCGCTTTCAGATCGGACCCATACTACTTCCACTTTCGAAGGGAGCTGTTGGTTGAATGCGGCACCCTCCACTTCCATGACTCTAACTGTGAAACTAGTGAAACAGAAAGTGAAAGATCAACCTCACCGTCTCTTCTCCCCCCCCCACTTCAAGTCCAAGTCTAGAAGTGAGGCGATGAAGGAGGGGCGCTATGGCCAACCATTTGCCCTGTTCGTTTTTCGAGAACACCTGGCCCTGCTGAGCACTGCACAGGCCACCTCATCTTCTCCTGGCGCTAATGTACGTTGACCATCTGGGAGAAGTCCAGATGGTCGGAGTGTTTGTGTCTTCGTATTGGTCCTGTGCAACCCTGCCTCCCTAATCCTATTCTAAGGTGGCTGGACTAGTGACTTCGCCATTCTCATGGGAACCGCCCCGGTTGCCTAGTCTCTTGTCTTCCCTTTCTATCCACCTGCGTCATAATAGGCAAGGGCCATATCCTGATCCGAGTCGGACGTTTTTAGACATGTTTTGCCCCATCCCCACTCAAGTAGAGAGACTTAACATTAACGTTAACTTACGAATTATTGTAGTACATGTCTACTGGTATATTGCGGTGAGAACCAAATCAATAAACACGGCCCCTGCCCAAAAGGTACCAGATCGACCTTGCCCCAGCCGGCCCAATCACCAGAAGCAAGTATCCGATGCATCACATCGGTTCCCAAGACCCGAACGTCGATTTCAACTAGTAGCATGTACAACAAAGGAAGAGAAAATATGATATATCTAGATGTGACGCCCGTTTTGCCCGTTTCGCCCCCTTCGACCTTGCAGCTTGGCTCCGGTACCGATTAATGTACCCCAGGTTTGGCAATGCAGCTGGCCATCACTCGGACCCGAACGGCTTATTAGGGTTTGCTTTTGTTCATGAATCATCTCTCAGGTTTCTATGACTCTGGTTCGGGCTCTCTGGTTCAAGCTCTAGATCTAGTCCCCCTTCTGTTCTAGTTTTGGTCCAGTCCCGCTCTCATTTCATGTGTCTCGTCTACACCGCTAGAGGTGATCCCAGATCTGTCATACGAAAGCACATCACACAGCACCACCTACAGTAAGTACTTTACTTCCACGGTCACAATCGTGGAACAATCACCCTCCATTGGATCGAGTCAGTTCGACTCAGCTACAGCTGCCGACCGCCACAGATCATCCTTGTTCTCCCTTTTCCCCTTTCTCTCTTTCCGTTTTGCCTCTTCAGCGCCCAAGTCTGCCTTAGATGGACTGCAGGTGGCGGGACCCACAATATAAACACACCTCGACATCATGATTACTCCTGTACTTCCTGTATAATCCCTGTATAATGTAGGCAAAGTCGGAGATTAAATGCTAGGATCGCGGCTGGCTTTTGCCACGGTTTGTCTACTATTTACTGGACTGCATTCTTACCCGGGTGGCGAGGACAAGGGGCTTCTGGAATTTATCCCCACTTGCTTCCATTCGACAATGATCATGTTGGGGCTTATGATATTCTCTACACTAATGTACGCACTACTACAGAGTAAATGAAGTATACATCCATGTACCAAATATATGTACAATAAAACCCTCATTGCTTTTTTTTTTCCCCACCACATACATGTACAGTAAGCGAAACCATCCAACCAAAACCCACAACATAAGACCAAACTAGTCCCAAACTATAGAGTGTGCATGTATAGTCCGGCCAAGCTAGCCACCCAACGCAAAAGCAAAAGCAAAAGCAGGGAAAAGGGAAAGGGTAAAAAAACCCAAACTCCCCAATCGGCACCCAACCACCGCCCCAACGCCCTCCCATTCGCTCGCCATTACCTCGTTCCAAGCCGACCGGGCCAATAGCCAAGAATAACCACCCAGTAAGCAACAACCAATAAGCAGACCTGCAGATATTATTGTGAGGTACAGTAGAAAAGAGGCGGGTGGCCTAAGGCGTTTGAAACCAATAACCAATACGAACGACTAAGAATGTTCCATTGTGTATCCGCGATATCCGCTAGAATGCCATACTAAGACTGAGATACATCTGCCCCTAACTCCTAACATAAACCCTACATAGCTAACTTAAACTTACAAAGTTAACTTACGTAGTTAGTATGCACCTTCCTCCCACACCCAAAAATGAGAAAGACCACACATCTCAGAACCATGGAACCGAGGTAGCGAGAGAGTTCGGGATGAAAGAAATCTAGAACACTAGCTAGAGCCACAGTGGATGGTAGCTTATGTTCCGAGAAGATTGAAGGTTTTGTGTTCTTTGTTCTTTACCGGCAGTCTGGGTCGGGCTGAAGAGTTGATGGACCATTTCTTTTTGTTCTTTCTGGTAGGAGCTGTCGGCTTTCTTCGTCTATTGTGAGAGATTGCCACCGAGAGTTTGGGTCGGTTCGATAGTATAGTGTAGGTTGAAGCTAGAGACTACAATGTTAAGAGGCTAGAAGCAGAGGGGGCTTGCTTATTTCTCGGGTTCTGGGGCTGATGTGGGTTTTGGGAACCGAGTTGGTATGGCATGATATGATGTAGTGGGTTTGACTTGTTCGTTTGTTCTTTGTCTCGTACGTTCTACGGAGGTTGTGAGGCTACACAGCGCTTCGTACGTAGGGTCTGAGGGGTTGGACTGGATGGATCTTAAGCCACCCCCTCGGTAAGGTGAGATAGGACAAGGTCCATCTAAACACAGCGCGACAGGGGCTGGGGTTGTTGGCCCGCGGGAGAATGTTTGGTTTGGATCTGGACTTGGATTGGTTTCAGAGGTTGGAGATGCTAAGTTACATACTGTTTGTAGTTATGCATATTGACAGGGGTAAACCAACCCTCGATCATCCTTCTGTAACGCCGATATCTTGATTACATTATGCTTATGCCGGCCGGACAGGGTCCGTCCAGGAGGCTGGGGCATCCTGGTCAGCAGGCAGTCGCTGCCATGCTGAAACTGTGGTCCCTTCCGTCATGCCACTTCGTTACACCTTGCGCATCAGGAACGGGTGCTTCAATGCATCCGCGGGCGTGATTCGTTTCTCGGGGTTCAGACTCAAGCAGCGGTCGAGGAAGTCTATGAACAGGGTCAGATCTTTAGCGTCCATGTCGGACATTCCGCGCGTTCCCTGGCTCATCAGCCGGGTCTTCAGGTCACGCGTAGGTTTCTTGAAGTCCACGATCTTCGTAACCAGGCGCCCGGTGATCTTGTCTTCCTCCACGCTGTGGAAATTGAGCATATCATCAAAATGCTGGGGCGTCAGAGACCCGCGGCGTAGAAGCTTCGGCGGGTATTTGCCCCGGCATTCCATGATCGAGCGAAGCATCTGGTTGTTGTTTCGGCCGGTAAACAAAATCTTGCCCGTGTACAGTTCAAAGAGGGTACAACCGATAGACCACACATCAATGGCAAAATCGTAAGGGATGCCCAGGATGATTTCCGGGGCACGGTAGAACCGACTGACGAGGTAAGGAGTGATCTCATTTTCAGAGGCTGGAGACGCCGATCCCAGGTCGCAAACCTTCAGAATGTTGCGTTGCTCATTCACAAGAAGGTTATCCGGTTTGAGGTCTGCATGCAGGATGTTACACTTGCGGAGGAGACTCAGTCCGAGGAAAATCTGTTGAGCGTAGGCCCGGATCGCGCGCAGGTTTAGACCGACGTCTCGACCAAACTTCTTCAGGATCTCACGTAGATCCATGCTAAGGTTCTCAAACACCATGCACAAGTGGCCCTTGTGCTCAAAGTGTCGCTCGAATTTGATAATATGCTTCTTGTGTTCCGGATCCGCCGCCGTGAGCTGCTCCAGAATTTCGATCTCCTTCATACCGGCCTTGCGCATCGTCTCGTTCTGACGAATGATCTTGACGGCGACCAGACTCCCCGTCTTAGTGTCGGTTGCACGTACGACGGCTGAGAACATTCCTTTGCCTAGGTTTTGCGTGACATGATATCTTCCGTTGATCAGCTCCCCAAGACGGACGTTGTAGTAGCCCTCGGAGTCGTCCCAGTTATCCATCATACTGATATCAAGCTCCTTGCCTTGAGGAACAGCTGACATTGCTGAGGCATGTGCCGGGGGCCCGTCTTCGGCGAACATATCATCGTCGTCTCCAAACATGTCGTATGCATCATCTTTCGCATCAGGGATGAGAACATCCTGTTTAGCTGTTTTAGTTTCATCATAGGCCGCAGAAGAAACGTCGTCCTTGTTGATCTGCACGTTGCTATGTTTCTCTCTCTCTTCCTTCATGTCAAGAGTTGGGTCATAATCAGCAGCGGAGGGTTCATTCTCATCGGCAGCATTAACAGGGACCTTCGAATTGGCCAAATCAACGTCCTTTCCAAGGTTGAAATTGGGGAGATCCACCGGCCGTTCCTGGGGAGTTCCTAGGGGAGAATCTATACCCGCATGTTAGATTTTGATACAGAAGTAACATGGTCCGGGATAAGCATACCTGACGCCTCCTTTGCACTAGTCGGCTCACTGCCAGGCGTAGATGTATCAGTCTCACCCTCACCGATGTTTTCCACTGCTTTCAGATGGAGAGGAGTCGCCTGGCTTCGGTACTTGGCCCGGATAGCCTCACGACGTTTGCGGCGAGCTTCAAGCTCAGCGGCTTCGTCGGCTGGCTCGGATTGACGCGACTCCACGGGTTCGGGGTTACGGTGGTGCTCTCTATAGAGATTGTTAGTTATGTCATCAACATAGATAATTGGCCAACATACTCATCAGCCACGGAGGCTTGCAATTTAGACGCCTGCTCCTGATTCTCACGTGTTTCAGCACCAAGCTTAGAATCGCGGGCGACAGCAGCCTTCCCTCGTTCGCTCAATACCTGTTCGGTGGGCCTGTGTCTTCCGGAGTCCGCTGAAGGCACAACACCATCTACCTTCTGATCAAGCTCGTCGCCTGAATACTTCTTGGGCTTTCTCGTTTCACGGTATGGGGATCGGCTGCGGGTGCGCGGCCGCTTGTCTTCGCGTCGATCGTGGTCATCACTGTATCGCAATCCCCCACCATAACTGTCATCGCGGTCATAGTCATAGTAGGACTTCGGCCGCCGGCCGAGAGGAGATCGATCTCTGTTCCTGTCGTCGTATCTAGACCCGTAATTTCGCGAAGGCTCGGGCCGGGAGTGTCGGCTCTCGTATCGGCTCTCGTACTCGTAATCATCGTCACGTCGACGCTTGGAACTTCTGTTATCCCGGTATGGAGAGCGAGATCGGGGTCTTGGGGACCTCCTGCGGCGTGGCGAACTTGGGCCATCTAGTGACGGGGACAAGGGCGCAGAGGGTGGACTATCTCTGGTGGGACGGTCAACGCTGGTGCCTTTAGAAGGAGGTTTTGACGCAGTTGCCTTCATCTCTGGTCCTGGTTCGATGATCTCACCCTCAGAAGGGGTCGATGAGGACCTCGATCTGTGATGCGACATAGTTGCGACGGGCCGAGGAACTAAACAACACGCACAGGTGATCTTCTTTCTTCTCGCTTCAAGTTCAATCGGAATCGGCCTTTGGAGGAGGCTTCAAGCAAGTAAGCAACGCTCAGTTAGCGTAAGCTCCAGTGAAAAACGATTTTCTGAAAGCAAAGGGAGTTGTGAAAGTCCAACCGGCTGTAAGAGGCCTGCCTTCACACCAAAGCCTTGTATCAGATTATCCTCCCAAGCGCATAGCTTGTTAAAACAAGCTTGAGAGATGATTGCAAATGCAGGTGTCGATGATGGAGATGGGTTGAGATGAGCCATCGCGGTTTGAGGTTGGAGATAGGGCAGATTCTGCGCCAGGCCCGAAGAAGTAGGCGGTCAACCCCAGTCCCCTCTATGTGATAAGCGCCCCTCGACACTCTTTTTTTCGCCGTTGAACGTCGCCTCCAAAACACACCGTTTCTCTTTAGATCTTTTTCTTTCCGTTTCCACGGTTTTACCTCAGACAAAATGGGTGGTCAAGGCAGAGAAGGTACGCACACAACGTTGGATTTCTTCGACGGACTTCACTCACTGACATTTTTTGCGACTTGCAGGTGGCAAGGTTAAGCCTTTGAAGGCTGCCAAGAAGGAAAAGAAGGAACTTGATGAGGACGACCTTGCTCACCAGGCCAAGCTCAAGGCTGGTATGTCTCCCTTTCACTCCACAACGTCCGATTCCGTGTACTGATCCTCTTTGTAGATGCCAAGGCCAAGAAGGACATGATGGAGGCCGCGAAGGGCAAGAAGGGTCCCCTCAACACCGGCCAGCAGGGCATCAAGAAGTCCGGCAAGAAATAAGCAGATCGAACAACGACGGCGAACCCCCCGCAACGAACCTGATGCCAGGCTTCCCTCGACTCTTTCACGACTTCCACGAGCCATGTTCATTGAGAGCGGAGGATGGGTGGTTTCAAATGATAGCGCCAGCATTATGACAACACTCATCGGTTCTCTATGTGTCCTTGTATAGCCTTAGCCACCAACACATACCATATTTCACGTTTGATCGCAAATCTACATATTTACAATTGTTGCAGCCAAAATTTCGTAGAAAGAAACGTGTGAGAAGTAGAATTACTTGAAACGAACGAATGAACGAAAAAGCTCAACAGCTTAGACAATCCGAATCGAAAGGGGTATCATCCTGCCTTGCAAGAGTTGTGCAGTAGGGAAATTGAACGCTAAAAACAACGCACGCCCCAATAATCGGAACAAAAGAACATGCAACCCTCCCAGAGAACAAAGCGCAGAAAAGAGAAAGGAAAAGATTAGAGAAAATAGCCGGAAGGATCAGTGCATAAATCTCCGCAAAAGCATTAACAAAGATAGACAGCCACTAACTAGTGACACGCTTGACCCAGAGACTATTACCATCACCATTATTCTCCTTCTCATCGAATCGGCGCCACGCACGAGCAATCTTCATTCCAAGATCATGCTCTTCCTTCTTAATCTCATCGATCTCACTCCCAATACTCTGAAGACTCTTCTTGACCTCAGCTTTGGAGGCTAGGTCATAAGCAATAGAGGTAGGCTGAATAACCTTGCTCAACTCATCAACAACAGTCTGCAAGGTAAATCTGCGCTGGGCAAGCTCATTCCGCTTAGCTTCCAGAGCCTCAATCCGGCCCTGCGCATCTTTGGGTTCCTCGGGCGCGGGAGGAGGTGTCTGATTCTCCGCAGGCATCTGCGCTACCTGGGATGGGGTAGGCTTGCGAACTGGCTTCTTGGCAATTGCAACCGGTGACTTCTTAGAAATCGGTATGCCGTTGGGAACCGGGCGACGTCGGGACATGATAGAAGAAGCAGACAATAGGTCATCTGTGGACCGAGTGTCAAGCTGGAAGCTTACGCGCGGGCTTGCATTCTGACTACCGGAGTCAGTGGTCGTGTCAGTGGTCCCGCTGAAGCGGGAAGCCGGTTCATTGCTTGGCAGCATCATGCTGGCGATCCTGTCGTCGTCGTCGAATTTGAAAGTTGGCGGGTCCGGTCGTGGGTGACTGGGGGCGTGGTCTGTTGCTGGTCTTGTGGGCACGTAAGCCGGGTCACCTGCACTGATGGTCGTGACTGTTGACGGGACGAAACCCAAGTTTCCGATCTGGGGACTCGGCTCTGTGGCCCGGTTGGAATGTGCTTCCTTTGACAACACTTCCTTTGACAACGCACGTGACGACGATCTGGTTCTGAGTTCTGGAGAGGGTTCCTCGCTCTTTGAGAAACTGCTCATCCGAGTTCGCGTCTCGTTGAGCCTTTTGATGGGGCGGAGCTGCTCGCGACCCCAAGTGAGTAGGTTGGATGTATGTGATCCAGATGGTTTATGGGATGAGGTGGCGGGTGTTTTGCCTGCTATAGTTGAGTGTGGCCCAGGCGCGAAATTTGGGAAATCCGCTGGCCGCTCAGGAGTGAAGCGAGTGAGTTTGTGCTGGACAGGCTGCAGTGTAGACTGCGAGGCAGTGTATGTTTTACCGGCCATGGAAATTGGAGATGGTGCAGAAGACACCCGATATTCCTTTTGCGCAGGAGGAAAAGGTTGCCCTTCCTCCATTGGCGATACGCAAAAGCTACTCTGGCTACCATGCCATTCATGACCGGGATCCGGCGATCCCATAGAAGAGACGTCTGAATATCTTTTTTTCATGTCATGTGATGGGACTTGTTTGTTGACAGCGCCCGAGTCACTATCATGAATTAGACCTTACTATCAAAACTTGTAAAACAATAGACTGACCTTGGCAAAGGAGGTAGACCCTTGTGTTTATCCCGCGACCCCGGAGGAGATGGAGACGGGCTTGATGTGGGGTTCCGTCGAGACTTGAATGGCCCTTTGGACCACATTTTGATCTGCGTGATACACGGCTGATCTATACGATTAGAGTCGCAAAAGAAAGCAGAGATCACGCGCAGCACGTTCAAAGGGATGAGATGAAAGAGAAAGGACAAAAAAAAAGGGAGAACTCTCGAGGAAAGGGGGTTGAGACCGTTATTTTTAGGCAGCGGACCACGGTCAAGCCCGGAAGTGTGCGGAAATATAGAGCCAGGCTCTCGAGATGTATAGATCGAAGACAAGAAGTTATTCAGAGAGAAGATCTAGAATACAGGAAAAGACAAGGAAACAACATGGCATCACCGATTCAAGCTAAGTGGTCAGGCAACAAATTAAAATGGGGGTGGTCCAGTGGAGATGAAACGGCTCAGGGCCTGCTGGCGTTTTAAATTAGCAATTTGGAGGCCTGATCTCCAATCATTCACATGCAATATGATATAATAATAGATCAAGAAGGCACTGACATACTAAAGTTGAATATCAAAGTAGACGTCGGCAAATGACAATCACGTGCACTGTATAGCGCGGGGAGCTCATCATCCCGAGATTCCCGGACTTCTCCATTCCAACCTCAAAACATGGCAGGTATGCGATGTGCCACCTTCCACATGGCCCAACCCCGCTAACAAGCAAGCAGACAACTCTGTACCACAGCCTGAAGTGTTTGTGTCCCCGCTCCAAAGTCCACCCACATAGCTGTACCATCTCCCAAGCTCGGAATCTCGACAACTAACAACACTACCCAACAGGATGTCGATCGCATCACCAATTAATCTAATCCTCCTCTCCCTCTTCGTCCTGTTAGTTTACTGGCACTTCCGGCCCAAGGCACCAGTCGCCCTCCCGCGAGGCCCACCTCCAGTCGTCTTCAAGACCTACACCCCCAAAACGCTGATCAAATACAATGGCTTGAATGATCAGCCCGTCTACCTTGCTGTGCGGGGTCGTGTCTTTGATGTTTCTCCTGGAAGGAACTTCTACGGACCGGTATGTGGGATTCTTGTGAAACGCCATCCTAGGAATACAAAACTCGGGCTAGGTCTAGATTTGGAGCTGGGCAGACGCTGACGATGCATGGTTTTAACAGGGCGGTCCTTACGAGAACTTTGCTGGCCGCGACGCATCCCGCGGTTTGGCTCACCAGAGCTTCGATGAGGAGATGTTGACTAAGGATTTGTCGGCGCCGTTGGATAAGCTGGAGGATTTGGATGAGGATCAGCTGGAGAACTTGCAGTCGTGGGAGGAGCGCTTCTTGGAGAAGTACCTCGTTGTTGGAAAGTTGGTTGCTGAGGGTGATCCTGAGGCTCCTTCGTCGTGACGGCATAATTGAAGTAAACATACATCTCCTGTGTTTGTTTGGGGGTAGAATGACGCAGGTTCTTGATGGACTGGGGAAACCTTGTGTTGTGATTCTCGTTGACTTGCACTAAAAGCTACGCAATTCTTTTTTTTTCTTTTTCGGGATTATCTTATACCATCTTTGTAGAAACATGCGATTACTGTTTAGATCAAAGAAGGCATATTTAGAGCTTCCAAAGTGGACATTTGTTTTTGACAATCAACAAAAATCATTGCCTGAATCAACAACCAACAACCAGCGAAAAGCAACCCAAAGCTCAAATGTCATAATCATCGTAACCTAAGAGATATCACAGAAGCTAAACCGAATTGGCATCCAACCTTGTAGAATAGAAAGATAAATAACAGGTGGATTCGAGAAAAAGCTTTTTACAGCTCCGCACGCAGCTTCTGGGCCTTCTCGGAGACCTTCTCCTGCGTCTTATCGGCAGCTTCTTGGCCCTGGGCGCGGCCGCTTGAAGCGCCGATCTTCAGCTGCTCCAAGGCCCACTGTAAGGTATCCACGACCTTGGCGTAGATGGTGTCACGCGGGTTGGTGGTGCCGTACTTGAAGTACTGCGCGTTGCGGCGGGCTGCGGCTCGGAGCTCATTGATGCTCGAGCCCTGGTAGACGGGGATGCCGTACGAGTCAAGGTATCTCTTGAGCTCGGAGTGCGACCACCGGTCAAAGGTGGCATCCTTGGCTGATCCAGTGGCTTGAGCGAGAGAGGCAGTTGCAGAGGCGTACTGCTCGCCACCAGCCTTGGAGGCCTTGGCGTAGGTGTCCTGGGCACTCTTGACCAGCTCTTCGCGTGAGGCATCGGCCTTCTTAGCAGCCTTGCTGTTCATGGCAGACAGGTATTTCCTAGAAACGTCAGCGAGTGAGAACATTGACGACATGAACATTGACTTACAGCAGGTGCTCCTTATCCCAAGTGTCAAAGTTGTACTGGTTCCATCCACCGGCAGCCTTGTGGGCGTTGGCGCGGACGGCGGCAATGAGCTCATCGCGCTTGCCATTCTGAGGAACGGGGACGCTCCGGGCATCAAGGAATGCCTTGAGGCGGGAGTCAGACCAGCCCTTCAGTGCAGCGTTGAACTCGTCCTCGGCCTTCATCTTGACGTCATCGGTAGCGCGTGCATATTGGTTTCCAGCTTTGGTGGTAGCAGCGCCGAACGCATCCTCGGCAGCGGTAGAAGCGCTCGAGGCAGCACTAGAGACCTGGCCGACGAGATACGCACGGTTCTTGCGGGCGAGAGCGATGAGTTCATTGCGCTTGGAACCCTGAGGGACCCTGACATTGTGCTCGTCAAGGAACTCCTTCAGCTTCGAATCGGACCAGGCATTGAAAAGTTCGTCACTCAAGGACTGCGTGGCAGATTCGGCGGAAGCAGAGACAGATGCAGCGATCCTCTGTGCCTGCAAGCTGGCAATGCGAGAGTTGCGGCGCACCGAGGCGATGAGCTTGTCACGGGTTGATGGCTGAGGAGCGGGCCATCCACGCTCGTCGAGCCATGCCTTGAGATCTGAATCGGACCACGACTCATACAGCCAGTCTCCGGGGTAAGAGGCGGTCTCACCGACCTTCTTGGCGATCGCTTCATAGTTCTCACGCGCAGTCTTGATCAAGACGTCGCGCTTGCGGGGCTGGGGAGCTGGAATGCCGTGACGATCAAGGAATGCCTTCAACTGAGTGTCAGACCAACTATTTGGGTTAGTTTCATTTGCTGGCAGGGTTTAAGGTAAACAACTTACGTGTCGAAGATCCATTCCCTCGCATGGTGAGCTTGGTCGCTGATTTGATCGGCCACTGATCCCAGAGGCTTCTGCACTCTGGTGTCCCAGTTGGTCTTGACCAGGTTCTCTAGGTCCCGGCGGTCGGCAGGACTAGGGTGAGGGATATCTGTGGAATGTTAATCGATGTAGCTGCTAGGCCAGAGAAGTATATCATACCATGGTCGGACAACCATCGCTCGAGCTCAGTTTCGTGCCATTTATTGTAAACTGCTGCCGTTAGCTCGCGAACTATCTCAGTCTTGATGACAACGCACCAGCCTTGCTCCACCAGCTGGAAGCTCCCACTGCTTCAGTGGACGCGAGTAAAAACAGAAGGCCAGTGGCCAAATTCAGCTTCATCTTGACCTTGATTTTAGGTTCAGTAGAAGGGTATGTTGCAAGAGCTTGAACAATTAGTTGATCAACTTAGCAAGAGAAACATGAGTGAAGGAGAAAGAAAAAGATGCTTAAAAAAGAGCAAAGCAAGAAAGGACCAGGGATGATTGCGCAGTGACGTAGTTGGGGAATTTGCCTTGGCTGGATGCATGATTCATCAATTTCGTATTCCGTCATGGCAGTTATGCAATGGATCTTGTTATGGCAATGGCAAATAAACAGTAACTGGGCCTGCATTTAGATACTTGACACTGTAGAGTGGACTATAGAGTGAAGTTGAAATTGAAGCTAACATCAGGCGCCGAGGCACGAATACCCAACAGGGTCCCTTGTGCGGGGATGGACTTCTCCCCTGATTCCCCTACACAGTTGTATTGAGTGAACGCTTTGTGATTTAGATGTGATCTTTAGGTTGGTCCTCTCTCACTAGTTTCAGCTCTAGCTCTAGCTCTAGCTCCAACTCCCTGCGATCTGCGAGCTACCCCGTTCTCTGAGCTCAGCTCCATAGCTCTCCGACATGGACCCATCAACACCATACTGCCGTGAGCTGGCCTCGCCCAACGCCTTCCAAACCGTGCTATCAGTGTATGCTCTCATATACCCAACGCTGACATCCAGTAACTAACAAGGAAGCTCAGCTTGATCGTCTTCGGCATTCTCCTTTCATACCTTCCCCAACATATCCGCATCATTGCCCGCCGAAGCTCCTTCGGGATATCGCCCTATTTCGTGCTACTAGGGGTAACATCCGGTACCTCAGCCTTTGCCAACATCCTAGTATTTCCATCCACAGCTCAAGATGTCGCCTGCTGCCAGGAGATCAGCGGCGTGGCATGTTTCGCGGGGCTGCTCGGCGTCTTCCAAGTGGGCACGCAGTGGCTCTGTTTCTTCTCCATGTGAGTCCATGCCCGACCGGGTCGTGCAATGGTATGTGCCATAAGAAGTGAAATCCTAATGTATCCCATCTAGTCTGCTTCTATTCGTGATCTACTTCCCACGAGCAACATCCCCAACAGACCCGGTAAGCGCTGTATCCTCCACACCCAACGGTCCGACCTACCGCACCGCGCTGGTCGTAACAGGGCTATGCCTGTTCCATGCGCTCGCAACGATAGTAATCTCTGTCGCCTTCAACATCCGCCAACCAGCCGCTATGCCGGCCTGGGCGAACTTCCTCGGTGTCTTGTCTGCCGTCCTCGCATCCATTCAGTACTTCCCGCAGATCTATACCACGTTCCGGCTGCGCTGTGTGGGGAGCTTGAGTATCCCGATGATGTGCATCCAGACGCCTGGCAGTCTTGTCTGGGCGAGTAGCTTGGCTGCGCGCAAAGGATGGGCCGGTTGGAGTATATGGGGTGTGTTGGTTGTCACAGCTTGCTTGCAGGGTACTTTGCTGGTGATGGCGATCTACTTTGAATACTTTGGGCCCAACCATAAAGGGGTAGCGGGGCACCATGTTGATGAGAATGGGGCTTCGAATGGGGCTGTCCCTGCTGATGAGCGAGCCCAACATGAGCCTTTGGAGGGGCCATCTGAGGAAACGCCATTGCTTCAGAGCCATTGATTTGCGGCCCATAGATGTGGCGTGGTGAAACCACGCTATTTGGTAGCTTTATATAGAGCGAAATCTTATGTGTTTCTATATTGGTCCAAATACTGTAGACTTCATTCGTATCGAAGATTGAGGGGTGTAGATCCTTTGCGTCACAGTTGGTTCTGGTTCCCCCCCATCAAGGGGTATCCTTTTCGCAAAAAAATCCTTCCTCCTCTCATTCTGTCATGGCCGTTATCTGTGAGCCTCTATGACTTAGGCGTTGTAGACCAGCTGGTACATCTCGTTGCTCACGAAGAAGCTACCGCCGGCATCGCGAAGCAGGTTGAAGACATGGATGAAGTTCATCCGAGCGTTGTCGTCGGCCTGTTATTGAAAAGTATTGTTAGCCAGGAAACCAGAATAACGACATATTCATGTGACGTACGAGAAGGTGACCATGCACCGTGATAAGGACGCCGGTGCGATTCGCGGACTCTTGCGACGTGAAGGTGACAATCTCGCGCTTCAACGCGGGCATTGACTATATCCCATCTTGTATCAGCATGCAAAGTTCCTTGTCAAATAGTCCTATATAGCAGGGATTTGGGAGTTCACGCACGGCAATCCGCTCTATGATCTCCGAAGCCTTAACGGGCGCGCCTTCAAGGGTGAGTTTAGATTCAGGACGCTGTGTGGAAAGATCGAATTAGCGCCCAGTGTCTTGTTTGAAGTCTCGAGTAGAGTTGGCTTACATAGAGAGGAGCGAGGTTTTGGCGGTCTCCTTCAAAGGTCTCATAGTAGAACTTCAGGAATTCCTCTGTAGGACCGGTAAGTCAGACTAGGCTCCTATGTATAGATTGTACGGTTGCCGACTAAGGCATAGTCCACAGCTCAATGGGGAGAAGATCGGGAACTGGGCGCGTTGCTGGATCAATAAGAGAGAGTGGGGGACGTACGAGCGATTGGGGCTGATTGGTCTAGATAGGATGAATATGTTAGCCGATTTTTGTTCCTTGTCAAGATTTATTCGATCATCAGCAATCCCTAAGGCTGCGCAGAAATCGTTCACGTATTGCCGTCTAGGGAGGGGAGGAGCAGAGCACTGCGAGAGGGGTAGGAACGGGAGAATGCTCAGGGTATTCTCAAAGAAGACGTACCGTCGTCCATTTTGAATGAGTTGTATGAGAAAACCGAGAGGAGATAAAGTGCTTCAGCCGTAGAGAGGTGAGAGGTGAGGAAGAAGGTATTTGTTGATGAGGGGTTGTGGGGCATGAAATGTGTTTCTGCCACCCTTCCGCCTTGTGCCATATACATTCTGCAACCTTTGAACCTTGGTCTTCCAAGTTGTATGAGACATGGATGTCTAAATATCTTATTTGACTAAGTTATTTGTTTATGAATAAACGCATTGTCTACTAACGCAACTGTGCACCTGTAGAGTCTACGCGAGTTCCCTGGGTCGGCTTCGCATACCCAAAAGGGTTGCGTTGTTTATCCCTCGTTTGGCAGGCACAATTATCTCTTTCCCTTCTACTAGGTACCTCATAGGTATACTCACAATCAAAGTTGTTAGGCACTCAATCATTACTAGTGTTTGGGCAGCAAGTTGGGACTTTGAGGGCAGTGCTCACTGTATCCCAATCTTTGACTCATACAATTGCAATAGCCCAATGCCGGGTACATTCTCGTTGAAATCATAGTCCCTATAAAGATGAAACACAGATTTCTGAAGGATAGAAGCCAATTCGATGCCCGATAATTTGAGGACATCATCCCAGTAGGTGTCCTAGAATATAGGAGAGCAGGGTGAAAGAAGATTTTGAGATTATCCTACGCAGTCCCAAAAGCAGGTGGTTATATCTAACGGTCTTTTAATAATTACAGCAGTAGCCCAAATTTTTCCTCCCATAAAGACTTGTGCATTTATCATTGAAAGCGGATCAAAGACCCGTCGAAAGAATTATCTGGGTTCGCTCGATATCACCGCGCTCATAATATGACGCTCATTGTCAAAAGGCGAGTCCTCACCCTGTCTTTTCGGGTGCTTCTACTTCCTTGCTGCCCAATTGGCCTCGAAATACCCCCAAGCCTCCTTTGGATCTGGGTCAACCTTGCCTGTCTCAAGGTAGTTGCGTGACGTTGGTATTTGGTCGAGAATCCGGACGAGTGGGAGCGAGCAATGTTGTAGTCAAGCAACCATTCTCCATTACGGCGAAAAGGCCAGTGTTGCTAAATTCATCTCGTTCAACCCCATTGCAACAGCAACATAGCTATGAATGGAGTTCATGAGACCAGTGTTAGGATCTTCTATCTCTATAGCTGGATCTGACTTCAGTGACTAAGCCCACAGTCCTAGGAGTCCTTCGAGCTCCATACTATTTTTGAGTACCCAGGACTTCCCAAAATTCAGATCCTTTTGACGAGTGAATTAATTATAGATAGAACCTGTGATCCTTCGAAGATATCATAGTGTTCTTGAGCTGTTCGGAAGTTGTGCAGTCAATGGCCATATCTCTTACATACAATGCCGCCGTTACCACATCACCTAGAAATCAGCGTAACCTATCATTTCTAGCCGGGATAGCGGTTTCTGCAGTTTGTAAGCGATAGGCTAGGGATCAATAGAGACTAACACACGGCTGCCAAGCCGGAAGCCCTAAGGAGAACAGAATGAGCATCAAACCGAGGGCAGGCCGGAAGACTGCAGGAGGCCTGAGACATCAGGCAGGTTGCATGTCCTGAAAGTAAGAAAGTGTTTCGTGGCATAGATCAAATTTTGATAAAAATTCCAAGTTCGGCACGATAGTTTAAATTTGGACGACAACTATATGTAGGTTAAATTAAACCTTGATATTAGCGTGAACGTTATACTTAATAACTACCGCCTTGATCTATGCAATTACTCAGGCTACATATTCTTAGTAACTCCCGGGCTCAAGTCAATGGTCGATGTCCTTGTTTTGCAGTTCCCAGATTGTTGGATGCGAGAACGAGAATAACAATGTGGACGTTATGCCCTGTACCTTCCTGAGGGCCCAGGCCTTCATCTATTCCTGCGAGAAGAGTAGAGTTTGCTCCCGTAGGGTCTGATTCGTGCTCCACAGTATAGATGACTGTTCAGTACCTAGGTCTTTGGATCTTCTTTCTTGTGCTGTCCTCGCCAAATAAAAATAAGCCCAATTAGTCAAGCCCTACAACGAACCCTGGAAGACTAAAGCCTAGGCTGTCAAATCTGGGACTAAGCTACGACTAGCTTTTTACGGAGAAAAGCTCAACAGGCATCCAGAATGAACATGTGGAGCACGACGGGCATCCTTATTAAGTAACGTAGTTTTGCTGTTGCGAGCCGAGAGCTATCAGTAGCATTAAGAATTACAATATAGCGAGTAATAACAGATAGCCAGTTACATAGTTATAGTTGCTACTAGAATCAGAGGTCGAAGAGTCGTGCAAAGAACAGATCCAAAGGTTTTGTATGGAGTACTTTTACTACCTTTGGGGATAAGAGACATCAGTGCTTCGTGTTAGCTTCGAGTCCGGTAGTAGTTTCCTTAGTAGACTAATTAAAGCCCCCATGGATCTCAATAGAAAGCTAGATGTTTCTAGGAATTTGGGGGGAAAAACAATGAGTCTGACTTTGATCATGCCGTCTCAGTATTTTGTCTAAAAACAAGATTCTTGGAAATGATATCAACGAAAAAAGCATGTTCCACACAAATTGACGCATCAATGACGCCGAATCCTACGGTCGCATTCTAACTATATACGACTCTATATAATGAAAGCTAAAGCTCCCTGCATGCATTTTCGTATTTATTATTTGCACGATTTAATCGAGTTTCACGACCAATAATCCCCAAAATGTCGCAGATGGGAGAAACTGACACTTTCCAACCGCCAAAGGCGGCTCAGAGTCAGGAAAAGCCCGGGTTAGGCCATATTTCACTTTTTCAAGTCATTTGCGCTAACTATTTGTTACTAGACTGGAAAAGAAAATGGCACCCCCTAGTGAAGTCACCAGACTCGAAGGAAGCCAAGGATTTGTTGAATATACCGGCGCAGATAAACTCAAGGACAAAAAGGTTCTCATAACTGGTGGAGAGTATGTTTACGACCTTTTTGGCTTTTCCTATATACGCTAACATCAAAAAGCTCCGGCATTGGTCGATCAGTCTCGGTTTTGATGGCCAGAGAAGGCGCAGATATTAGTATTGTTTATCTACCGCAAGAGCAACACGACGCGGAAGAAACAAAGGCAATGGTCGAAGCCGAAAATAGAACCTGTTTGCTTATTCCTGGAGACTTGAGAAAGTATGACTTCTGTCGTCATGCGGTTGAAGAACACATCAAGAGGTAAGTCTCGTCAATTATTAGAACTATTGTCAGCAGAGATTAATTTCGAGCCCAATAGACACGGTGCTCTGAATGTGCTCGTCAACAATGCCTCGAAACAGTATTCGTGCAAGGATCTAGCAGAAATCGATCTCGAGAAGGTCGAAGATGTGTTCCAATCGAATATTCTCCAGATGATCGCAATCACAAAATACGCCCTTCCACACATGTCTAGAGGCGACTCGTAAGTCAATACCTTTCTTGCCAGATTTTGATTACTTCTTGATACTAATGATTCTTCAGGATCATCAACAATACCTCGGTGGTTGCTTTCCGCGGTACGGCCGGCATGGTGGATTATGCTGCCACGAAAGGAGCAATTGTTGGGTTCACAAGGTCTCTCGCACAACAGCTCATTCCAAAGGGTATCCGAGTCAACGCCGTAGCGTAAGTACTCTTTACATTCTTCATCGTTTGACGTACTAATCTTGAACAGTCCCGGCGTGATTTATACCCCAATTCAGGTCGACACTCGAGATCCCGAGGGTATGAAGAATCTGGGCGAAAGCAAAGCTCTCGGCCGTCCGGGTCAAGCCAGTGAAGTTGCTACCAGCTTTGTGTTTTTGGCCAGCAGAGATGCCTCTTTCTACTGTATGTGTCACTGTCACCACGAAAATACCCGAGAATCATGCAACTAACCGCGATATAACGCAATAGATGGACAGATACTGCATTGCTATCCACTAGGAGATTAGCTTCTATCCTGGTTTGCGATATAAATAATCCTACAGGAATGCGACGCTATTTCCAAGTTCCTGAATGTACACTTGTCTCTATGTCGGTAATATCTTTCGTGTCAGAAACAGGAAGATACTTCAATCTATCTATGTACAAATACGCCTCTAGTACATCACTGCTTTACGTGCATGTCCTCACCCGTCGTTTGACAATCCTACAGCGCTGTCTGTGAAATGTCGAATACTATACACCCTTCGTCTCTGGGCGATTCATTTGCTTTTCAAAGACTGAAAGTAGTCGTCAGACCTCTTGAACCGGTCCTTTACCCGTTCATTGAGCCCCACAAATCTGAGATCCGCATCCCGACCTGCCCATTCCCTCAGAATACATCTGATATCAGCAAAAGATTGCATGGCGGTAGTATCAACGTGTGCAACTCGAGTTATATCCACAATAACAGCGCGTAGTCTGGGCAAGGTGCTTTCCTCTTAGGTTCATTGTTTCCAGTTTGGGATAATGCTTGAAGGAGAGAAAAGAGATAGAAGATTTCTTCCGATTACCTTGAACCTGAGGCGGAACTTACATCTTATCAATAGTGGATACTAATGGCGTCAACCGGGATGTTGACATGTCGCATGGGGATTGCGTCTTATTAAAACAGGGCCAGCCGTACCACGTGCACACTTTAATGCTTTAATAAGTCTACTTCTCTCTTCATTTCTTCCATTCTTTCGTATAGCAAATTTCTAACATGAAGAGTCTTACTGCCGATGAGAGATTCCAGTTGGCGGGAGTCTACTCTGCTCCAAAAGGCCTCTACGAGTACACCAAGAGTCTGCCCTTCACTGGTCGAGTGAAGAGTGATGTGACATCGCTTGTGGCCGGTGAGTGGACGGAAATCGCGCTGGACTATGAAGTTGGCGCTTCGGGTTTAGCAGATGGCGCTTGGATTAAAGGCACTTTCAAGTTTTACTCGGTTAGTCGATACTATCGTATAGGCAAGATGCCCAATAAGAAACGCCTGGGCTAAAAAGCGATTAGGACTGGGCATTGTTCCAGACATCAGATCCCACAAAAGACAACTATGTCAGTGCTGAGTATATTCCCAACAGCCTTTTCCCGGAACAGACCGCCGCGACAGTCCAGTCATTGGGCATCCGATTCGACCAAAAGGGCCACGAGCGACCTTTTCAAAAGGCTCTCATCGTGGATATCCAAGACGGCTATATGAATCCCGGTGATCGGATTATCATTCGCCTGGGCGACCGTCGCTATGGTGGCAGAGGAACGCGGGTCCAGACATTTATAGAAAAAGACTTCCGCTGGAGATTTTACATCGATCCCGTCGGGACTTCGTGAGTATTTCAGCAATTGCTGGTGCTGCATAAGGCTGACTTTATTCCCTTAGTCGCTTTGCTCCGATTCAGCCTGATATCTCTTGGAACATCCTGGCCGGTCCTATCTATCGCATTCAAACAGTTTCTCCTAGAGTGCTACAGCCATCTGTTCTATTTGCGATTCACTCCCACGCCGAGGATATCTGGGGAAATGTGACCAGTGATCTCGAGGATCTTTCCTTTGAGCTGAAAATTTCAGACAAGGACTCGAAGGTCGTGATTTCAAGGGTTATTTCTGTCCTAAATCATGGCTGGACCAATGCTATATTTTCCGACCTAAGCATAAAAGATGATGGAGATTATACGATTGACGTATCCGTGAAAGCTAAGGATCAAACAATCATTGCATCTCAAGTCTCCCAAATCACAGTATCCTCCGATCTTTCAGTCCCCAAGGCCTTGTTTGCTGACCTACATGTGCACTCTGACGACACGGTGGGAACAGAGTCATCCATCTACAACTTTTCCTATGGCCGAGAGATTTCCGCGCTGGATGTTCTTGGATACACTGCCAATGACTTCCAAATTACAAAGGAACGTTGGGTTGCTACGACTGAATTGATAAAATCACTCAACAAGCCCGGCGAGTTTGTTCTCTTTCCCGGCACCGAGTGGTGCGGGAACTCCGCGGCAGGAGGAGACCACAACGTTGTCTTCCTGGCCGATCCAACGACACATCCGCCCGAATTCCCCTTCGATCGTCATGGGAATGTTGCCCGCTCATTTGAATGGTCCGAGCATGGCCCTAAGGATCTCGTCCCTGGAGCTTGGCCATTAGATGAGGTATACTGCACGTACGCCAATGATGCAGACACACATTTGCTTATCCCCCATGTCGGTGGACGTCGCTGCAATCTTGCATGGCATCATCCTAAGCTAGAGCGCCTAGTTGAAATTGGCAGTGCATGGGGCCAGTTTGAGTGGCTTCTGCGTGATGCTGTGCGCAGAGGTTGGAAACTTGGAGTCTCCGCCAATTCCGATGAGCATCGCGGTCGATGTGGTGGTGGTGTCCCCGGAACAGCAGTTTTCGGCACCCGAGGTGGTCTAACTGGGATTGTGGCCCCAAGGCTAGAGCGCCAAGACGTAGCTGATGCTTTACGAGCCCGCCATACTTTCGCAACTACTGGCCAGCGATTGGTGGGACTGGTGCAGACAGCCGATCGATCTGCTATACAGGGTGATGAGATTCAACTCCGAAGTCAGGAGACGCTAGAACTAGATTACCAGTTCTTCGGCGAGAAAGGATTCTCTTCTATCGAGGCTTTTGATGCATCAGGCTTGATTTGGCGTAGACACTTTTGGTCTGAGTCTGAAGCGCCTGCTACAATCTTACGAGTTACCTGGGGTGGAGCCAGATTGTATGACCGGTATCGTGAAGCCGTTTGGAATGGAACCATCACACTCTCAGAGGAAGGCGCCGTGCAGAATGTGGTGCCATTCGGGGGCCTTGAGGACAACACAGAAGATTATTCTCGGCTAAGTGGGAATCATACCGTTGAATTCTCAAGCAAAACAAGTGGTGATGTCGATGGCGTCAACATTGCTCTTCAAGACAACAGCCGTCCGCGAAAAATATTTATTGCAGGCTCACTTGGTGGATATGTCAAGGTTGGAGACGCCTTGGCCGGAAACCCCCACAAAGCCCAGCCGAATTTCCAGCTCGAGACGTCCTGGGAGGAGGCCAGCCGTCAAGATGGCACAATGGTAGAAATTCTCGGTGGCGCAGAGCTGTTTGTTCGCGTTGAAGCAATCCCAAGAGTGGACCTACCACAGCGGACACAGGGAAGAGCATCATTCAGTAGTCAAGACACCGGATCACGCTCGATATATTTCGTTGGCCGGGAGTGGAGTGGCGGAAAAGTTGTCACCAGCCCTATTTTTGTAGACTATGTTTGAGACCCGGGGCCCTTTGCCTAGGTGATAGTTCGCCTTTATTCTTTCGTGTCCGGCTCACGATGTACAAAGCCTCGACCCTCTTCCTGTGAATGAGAAGACCCCCCTGATAATTGAGAGTCGCTAGCACCTGGAATGCATGCCAGATAAGAAAGAGCATGGTTTTAAATAGAGACCGGGTCCGAGGATTAATCGGAGAGCGCTTCTCGTATAGGGTTCATGGAATTAACCCCTTTTATGTAAATTGCAGTGTACCTAAGTATGCAGTGAGCCAGGCTGACTCGCTGCACGACTGAAATAATATTTGCAATACTTTATCAGGCATGTCAAGTGAGCGAGAGAAGCTAACTGGAAAACACCTCTGTACCGCTGAATAACAAAGTATCGATCTTTGACGGGATTTAGTAACCGCCAACTTGCCCTTCCTCCTTCATCGGCTTAAACTCGATTTGAATGGGATCCATGCCAATACCCCGTCTCTTCGCATCTTCAATAATAGCAATAGTAGCAGTAGCTCCAATTCTCGTCACGCCGAGACTCATAACATGGAGCAAATCGTCAAGAGTTCTCACACCACCGGCAGCCTTGATCTGAACCTCTGGACCAGAATGCTGTCGCATCAGCTTGAGATGCGGGATAGTGGCACCCTTGTAGTTGTAAGATCCATCAGCCTGCTTGACAAATCCATAACCAGTCGAGGTCTTGACAAATGCTACCCTCGCTTTGGTGCAGATGGTACACAGCCGTACAATATGTTCAGGTTGAAGGTAATCATTTTCAAAGATGACTTTGAGGATAGCCCCATGCTTTACGACTGCTGTGTTGATCTGTTCGATTTCGCGAGTCACGTATTCCCAGTCTTCACCAAGAACCTTGCCAATATTGACGACCATGTCGATTTCTTGCCCGCCAGCTTGGGCTGCCGCCGTAGCCTCTAACACTTTGATTTCTGTGGTGCTGTTTCCGTGAGGGAACCCGATTACTGGGCATATCTTGACGTCTGTGCCATCGAGTTCTTGCTTGGCCAGTGGAATTAGGTAGGGTTTCACACATGCTGTCGCGACGTTGTAGTTCTTGGCAATTTTGAGACCGGCGAGGATGTCTGCATCGGTCATTGTTGGATGGAGAAGGGAGTGGTCGATCATTTTCGCTAGCTGAGGAAGGTTGACTGTGATAGTGTTTGGTTTGGACATGGTGATGGCAGTGAGGGTTATTCGTGATGAATGATAATTTGAGGGTAGGTAGAACGCCGCGCAAGTCAGCGATCTGGTCTCCGGGGGCAATCCTCTGTTTATATAGAAGGTTTATGCCTATGAATAATTGTCAAGACACTTCGACATGTTCAATGATGTCGCAAGGAGTGCGGGGAAGGGCACAGAGATGCCGGAGCTGTACTCTCCACAGTCTAAGCTCGTATAAATTCAATTACTATTGGAAAATCATCAAAGAACTCAAAAATCTTTGCTTTTGGGTCTAGAAGAAGAGTATGTCACGAACAACAATACAAATAGCCCCAGGGTAACCTGTCGACTTCCAGTACGGTGCATTCAATCCGTACAGAATCAGGTCCAAAGGTCCAAGAGGCCGCTAGAGGTGAGCACTAAGCAAAGGGCTCAAATGTCAGACGCTTCCGTTGCATATGCACCTACTGTATACAATCTAAAGAGGAATTTATGTTGATTCATAGCACTTTATTATCCTTTTGCATAACGTACAATTACAATCGCGCCCAAGGTCACTCTGAATCTGAAGCAAACATGTCTTCAGCTTTGGGTCGTGGCTTTCGTTGCCTTCCCTCTGGTTCCCGCTGCCCGGTTGGCTGTTTAGGCTGTTCAGAAGGCTGGGATGTTTGTTGTGGTTGCTGAGGTGGCTGGTCTTGGATGTCGTCAGTGTCGCGTGGAAGCTCCTTGTTCATTAGGTCGCTATCAAGCTCCTCCAGATCACTGTCTTCCATTGGTACACCATCGATGTCACTCATTGATTCGTCCTCTGCGGGACCAACAGTAGGCTGGCTCTCTTCTGGTGCAGGACGTGTAGGATCGAATTTGCCAGCTGATTCGTCGTCGTCGACTGTCTTCCACCGGCTCTTGCTCTTGGCAAAGGCAGCGGCGGCTCGCTCCGCCTCGGCCTTTTCTTTATCTTTTTGTAGTTCATTCTCAGTAAGCGGTGGCTTTTCAAATACCTGAACGAAGTGCTCTTGGCTTGATTGGGCAAACACGCACCACCCTTCCCACAGATGGAGAAGAGTACCCACACTGCGCTTCCACTTCTCTGCTTTGAGGCGACCCCAGTTAAGATCCTTGTCAAGCCTACCTAGGTGCTCAAAGACTTTGTGTGTTCGGAGAGCAGATTCGAATAACTGTCGGTATCGCCATGCATGGCGCACGCCACTGGTGGCTGATGATGAGAGAATATCAGAGATTATGTAGAGTCCAACTAGCTTTGAGGCGGATACATCCAACGTCTCTTTCGCTGTGGTAGGGTTCTCCTTGTCCGCACTCTCGGATCTTGCAGTGCTCTTTTCGGATTCACGGTCGGGGTTGGCCCCTGTGTAGGCTAGGGGGTGGAGAACGTTCAGAACAATCATATCGACAACCTCATCCGCTCCCGCTCCCGCATGTTCGATGGCAAATGCTGTGACTCGGGCAACATCACCTCGTCGTAGCCTTGCATGACCAGTGGGAAGTCGTGCGAGAAGGTGTGTGAGCTTAGCCTTTCGCATGGGATTCATGTAGCCGACGCCATCGCTGTGCGCATTTGTTACATCGGGAGGTGCTCCGCTCAGATTGCGTCTCTCATCTTCGCCATCCGAATGTTCTTCGTCGGAAGAGTTGTAGTCCTCGTCTGAGACAAATTCATCCAGACGGGTGGTGTATTCAAATTTCAGATCGCCCTTCGGGGGTGCCCAATCTGGTCCGCCCTCAAAAACAGTTGTCGGTTTATGTGTTTGGGCCTTTCGGGCTCGAGGGTTCGTGACTACCTGCCATAATTTCCAGCGGTAGTATACACCACCAACCGACCTTGCATCCCACAGCCACGCCCATTTCTCTTCTCGTTGGACCTCAGGTCGACTCATCAAAAGCGCCTCAAACTCTGGGCCGAGGTTCAGTAGATTTTCGAGGGTCTTATGTATGAGTCTCAGCTGTTTGATATCTGACGGTGCCTTCACTTCCACCTGGGTGGAAGGTCCGTTTCTCCCAGCAGGTGATCCATACGAACTAGGAGGTGCGAACCCCCCGCGATGTGACCCTGGTGGTGGAGCTCGACTCAAGCTTCCCACTAAAGTTGGTTGAATATTTTTCGCACCGAAGGGAAAAGAAGCAGTTGAGGAAATGCCAACAGGCATAGTCACATTTGAACCAATTGCGGCAGAGGAAAGATGTCGGGAGAGTGTTAGGTAGTACCCCCAGCCAAGGTACTTATTTTGAAGGGTGCTCACGGTGGTGTCGATATCCGAGGCGGCTGCATCGCTTGTAAGAGTGACAATCGCAGCGGAAGATCTTCGTTCGGTTGGAAATTGACCGGGTGGGCGTAGGATCTTCACATTGTCCACAGTGAGAATAGAGGGGATCAATGCCTTGATGACTGACGGAGATGTTCCAGGAGGAAGTGATGCAAGGTGTAATGTAGGCTTCGAAGCTGCCCTCTCCGCCTCTTCAGCCGCTCTGTCGGCTTCAGAAGTACCAAATGCCGAAGCCGGTCCAGATGGGCCACTATGCGCGTTCTCGGGTTTGGGTTGGTCTCGGTGGGAGGGAGCAAAGCCCTCGTGGGTACGTTTGCGAGAAAGTGAGGGAGGCGGGGGTCCTAATGTCCCTGGACCACTATTTCGTGATGCAGATGCTGTGAAATGTCGTTTTGAAGGTCCGCCCAGCCCACCACCCCTACTTCCGAATGTGTTTAGTCGTCCATCGGACGACTTTGGTCCAGTCGGGGCATCATCCTCGAAAGATTTGACAAAGTCTTCGTAGACTGCAGCCGTTTCGGCTTTTTCACGGGCACGCTTGGCTTCCGCCTCAGCCTTTTGGCGCTCGAAAAGTGATTTCTTGGGCAGTGCGGAGAGTTTGGCTGAGACGTCGGGGAAGCTCTTCCCCTTCGGTTCGTCGGACATGTTGCAGGGAAGCTGCAACTGCAGCTACGGCAGCAAGATCCAAGCTGCAGGTAAATAATAAAGATAATTTGGAGGGGGGTTTGTTGCCAAAGCTGATCACCAAACACTTCCTGAGACCCGACGCGGGCGGTCGGGCCGCCGGTGAGGGGGCTTCCTTGTTATCGCCGGCATTATTCTACCGATGACGAAGCTATCTAACCAGCTCTGGAGAACGTCTGCCTTCTTGCTTTCTACTATCATGGCTTCAGCACAGATCCAAACTCTCTTGAGATTCTTGTCGCAAGATGCCAAGGTTCCTTTGGCTACGGCAATGGGCAGAACATTAGAGCTGCAGAAAGCTAATCTGATAACGTAGGGTCCCCCGCTTATAACATATCTCGAGTCTAACATTGTCTCAGGATAGAACAAATCTCGAAAGCAAACCTGGAAATATTGGAAGGCATCTTCAATGATAAGAAGATTGCGAAACAAGTTCTCAATGCCGCTAAACGGATATCCAAGAAGCGAGGAGCTTCGGATGATACCAAATCATCACCCCAGAAACGCAACAAAAGCTCCAGACTATTTAAAAAGACTCTACTCCATATGAGATTGAATCTTCACTCAGTTTGCCCAGCACTTCTGTCAACGAAGATGAACTGAGCGGTACTGTGGTCGTTACAAACCGAGCACCTCTTGTACTTGCCTTCGCGGTGTGCGTTTTGAAGTACACAATGCCAGAACAGCCACTTTCCAGTAGACTCAGTCTGGCCCAGGCCGTAGTTTCAGCCAACAGTCGCACCAAAGCTGCGAGTCTGGGACTTGAAGAAGGCAACTCTGCTGAGCAAGAAGGCTGGGGAGAGGGTCACCCCATTGTCAAAGTTCTTGGTAGAGACATACGGGTGTTAAAACGATGGGACTATGATCCAAACGAAGGGAAGCCACCAATTGAGACCAAGACAGAAGATCAAAGTGAGAATACGCAGGACAAACAAAACCAAATGCCTCCACTATGGGGTGTGGATTTGGAAGCGCTCAGAGGCAAAGATTCCAATCACAACACTGGTGGGCATCAAACCACCGATAACACACTGTCCATATTCAGGCCCGAATCTGCACGCTCGTATCTTTATCGAGCATTTTTAAAGCCAGCCGAAGAAGGGAAAACAGCCCCAAAGAAGAAGTCGGTTGCAACTATTGAAGACGAGAAAGAAGAATGCCTTGGCCGTATTTTGTCTGCCATTGATATGGTCTGCCAATCATGGGTTCCGAAGTTGGATCAAGCGGAGCTGGACAGACGTACAATAGAGCCTTGTCGCAATCGATTTTGAAACTGCGTTCAGTCACGTGATGCGGGTTTCCCGAGTGATATCACACGTTGTTCGTACTAATGTCTGCAGTATTTCTCGGCACTGACTTGATTCTAATTGAAGTTTCGATAATCAATTTGAAACAGCCGCGTCCTCTGGTTTGGCATGATTTGAAATTTTCTGACGCCTACGTTATTCCCACTAGCTTTTAGTGCGGCGGACATACCCGTGGACTATCAGCCTCCACTATTATGCTTAGTGAAAGGAGGGGGGGGGGGGATAGTTGATTGAAATCACCGTATTGTGTGCTGAAGCTGGAGCCAAATCAGGCATTCCATATTTCCATAATGTTCAGAGTCAGTGTGAACCAGAAGTAAACCAGTCGACCCAGGTGGGTAAACAAGAGTCTAGAATAAACTGGGTCAGCTCTTCCAAGCGTTCTTATGATGTTGACAGTGGAAATCGAGACCGCTCTGGTATCAGATGGAGCAATATGGAGCCCGGCGTGCCCTGGATATGGGTCCGTTACGCACAAATTGTCCCAACCCCGCGTCACGGGGGTTATAGGGGCTGAAACGCTGTCCGGACAAGACCGTTAGGATCCAAAGTCCAGAGTAACTCCGATGTGTTCAGAGAGCGCATATCCTAACCGTTCTGGGCAGAAGGAAGGACGGTTTCCATGGATTGGATGTCTGGTTTTGAAGTGAGCCGAGAACCAAGAGAGACCGCGGATGAAAGAATAGGCGTTTTCAAGAAGTCAGCAGAGTTTTCCATGTCCTTGAGAAGCTCCATCAAATGCAATAACTATAGCCTGTATGTTGAACTGTGCATAGTCCGGTAAACCATTAGTCCGGAACCGAGATATCCGTGAGAATTCCAGACTTTGAATGGTTCTGCAGGGTCGCGCAAATCAGTCTCCAGTTTGCGGGACTCTGCCCTTTGAGGGTCTCCGTTCTTGGAGCATTTCAATCTTGCAGGCTTCAGACACATAACAATTCTAGATCCTAAAAGCAAAGGCGAAAAATAGAATTGTGGCGAAGTATCCACGGCAGGGCTTAACTAGTTGGCCTAGTCGCAGTAGCGCTGATGGAGTCCCAAGTCGATCCCAGAGAGCCCAAAGAGACCCCTTGAGGAAGAAAGAGAAAAATACATTAGAGAAAAAGAAGATAAACAGGAATAAAAGCCCAAGTCAAAAAATATCGTATGGTCCGAGTTTTTGCGTGGTTGAACTCTCGGCCCCTCTGCCAATAATAGGCTTGTCACACTACTCTCAAACTTGCCCTCTTAACTTCCCCTTCTCCCCCCATCTCACCACATCTCCATTTCCATCCCGATTTCATCCAACTCCCTTCTTCTCTTTCGATCTTTGAGAAGAACCTCGTCTAATTGCTCTCGCCACTCTATTTCGCCCTTGCCCTCCTCGACTGGGTCATCGAACGGATTGATCGAATAACGAGGTGGCCCGACAGGGCTGCCAGACCGAAAGGAAATGTCTGGTCATATATCATCAGAGCATTCCCGCTCTGCTTCACGATCCTCTCAGACCCCTCGTCTATCCCAAGGCGACTCGATGTCTCGCCACTCCTTCGGTCGCAACTCCCGAGTCTCCAATCCTAATGTCTTCGCCGACGAATACTCGTTAGAACCGATTGATGCCGATCGAATCGAACGCCCTCACAGTCCCTCTTCCATCGCCTCATCTGCCACTCTACGCGAGAATAATCAACCGCCAAAGACTGTCAGCACGGCCACAACCGAGAATGAGAACCCATTCGGGGATGACGCCCGGCTGTCCTTTGATGAACCTCATCGGTCAAGCCTGCCACAAAAGGGGTGGGGATTCTCCAACAACCGTAACTCTACCGCCTCCATAAACACGACACCCTCCATGATCCAACGAAACCAGAGTGTTTCTTCCCGCTTCTCGATCCCCCGTGCCCTCAGCCCCTACACCGGAGCTACCGGACCTAGCCATCCTTATGGGATGTATCCTCAGGTCGGTGTCAGTCGGTCGCCCAGTGTCGGCAGTACCTCGACAATACGCCCGGTCGAGCAGCCGATTGAACAGTCTACCGGTCCTCAACATCCATACGCGATGTACTCACAGAATGTGGTCGAGGAAGGAATTGATGATTCGCCCATCCCGGTCGGATTCCCAGGTCACAACCCACCGTATCAGCCGCCCGCTGGTCGACAGGATGATGATGTAGGTGATATAATTGGACCGGACGGACACACCGAGCCACTGCCGCCCTATTCACGCTACCCAACGGGTGTCGTCCCCAAGCCCCCAGGGGCTGAGACGATGGCCGACCTCAACACTCCACCGGAAGAACATCGTCTCAACAATGAAGCGCTTCCCAGTAATGAAGCGGCGAGAGAGCCACCAGTTTCGGAAACGTCATCAAGGGCCTTGGTATTAGAACATTCCGGGGATGGTAACAATGGTCGCAACGGAGGAGAAAGAGCCGCGGGGACTACCGGTATCATGGCCTTCGAGGAAAAGTTGAAACGCAAAGGAAAGCAGACAGCATGCTGTGGTCTTCCTGTATGGACCTTGGTCCTCATCGCGACGGTGCTGCTGATCGGAGGATGCATTGGGGGTGTCATTGGTGGGGTTCTGGGAACTAAGAGAGCCGCAGAAGCCAGCAAAGCCGATGAAGAAGCTCAGAAGTCCCATGGCCCACCCATCGTTACAGTCACTGCGACTCCTCAGATGGATGCATCCATGATTTCTACTCCAACCAACATCAAGAGTGTCCCTACCGGCCACTTTATGGTCCCCTCCGGCTTCCAGAACGGTTCGGGGATGTGTGTGGATGAGAATAATTACGGCAAAGCTTGGAAATGTCTGCAATCGCCGAGTGAATTTGAAGTTTTCGTCGGTCAATCCAAGGGCCACCACTCCATTGTGTTCGACTACGGCGCCCCGACTACGACTTTCACCTACGGTGCTCAAGCACCCTATTGGTCTTCTTCCCCCACACAAGCATTGAGCATGGCTGTTGATACCACTGATATTGGCATGGGCCCGGCTCTCTTTTTCGTGTCTTCATTCGACAAATTGGTAATTGCTCCAGAGGATACATTCTCTCTCAGTTCTCTTAACAAGCGAACGTGGGTCGATGATGGGTGGGCACAGGCAGAGGCCTACAAGAACCTCAAGAAGACTGCCCAAGTTGGAGACAAACCGTGGTTCTGCTGGTGGAACAACACGAGGATGGAATTCTTTATGTATGTCAATCAATCGATTGCAGACTCAGCATCGAGCACCACAACTGCTTCAGCCGATAGCAACATGGCCGCAAGCACGGCGGGCGCGCACCAGGAGTCGAAACGCGGTTCTAATCTTTCTGACTACCCCCGGAGGATCAAAATGGAAGAGCGCCGAGATGACCCAACACGTGAAAATCCCTATTGTCAGCAGATGCAGATTCGCAGTGATGGTGGTCTGGCTCTTCTCTCAGGGATGATTGTCAATATCAAGGAGAACGAGCCTACGCCGACGACCACCTACACCAGTTACAATGGTGGCACTGTCCAGACATACACGGCTCAGGCATCATACGTTAGCCCATGCTATTGTATATCTTTGACCGATTGATTGGTCTACGTCTACATCCACTGCGAAGTTTCCTTTTATCCCTTTGAGTTCCTGCTGGTGCAGAACCAGGCGTTGGTGTTGGATTGGCCAAGGCGCCTCAACTCATGTGCACATGATCGTCTTATTGGCTGTGTGATTTTATCTTGATCCTCTTTCTGCAAGCTACTTGCCTTGTGGTTATATTCCTCGCATTATCCGTGACTATGCGTTCCTTTTTTCTTCCCTGGTTGCCATTGCGATATGACATGATTCTCATTACTGTGCGTGTGTGCTTTTTCCTATTCATCTGTGGGTTATATTCGGTCTGTCTCATTCTGTTTTCCGGCTTGGAATTCGGCGTTCATTGGATTGGAATGGCTCAGGTACTGCGATATGCCGGGTCTGATTATACTGTTCTCATCTACTCTTGTCTTAGGAATCTGGATTGAAATCTCTGTCCTATGTTAGCACTTGATAGGGCTGCTGTTCTGTCAAGTTCTGTCTCGGTTGTAATGCAACGTAGACGCGTTTTTTTCGATCCACCCCGGGTACGGATAGTGTAAGGGTTTGCTTGTGCAAAGACGTGAAAAATGTCTTTGGGGAAAGTGTTGTAAAAACATGACAATTGTGCTGACATGCCAGCAGGCTATATATAACATGAGCACCTTTATTCACACCCTGAGATATAATGTTATTTATACCTGGATGCGGAGAGTACCAGCATGCTTCTGTTTCAAATTTATAACTGTAAATATTTCGGCCCTACCGCAAACATGATCACTATCACTATCTACACAATCCTTTGGCTGATCAAGTCCACTGGACTGGCAATTACTAAAGACCTATCATTATAAACGAGACACATCAGGAGCGCGGATAACTCCAGCTCAAGGCAGCACGAGAACCAGCATCAACAGCACGTGATATAACAGACACCACGTGATATAAAGAAGCAAGATATTCAGCGCGCGCGACTTTCAGACCAGAAAACATGCTAGTTTAAGATTGTCAGAGAACATATAGGACATCGAGCGATGAAGACTAGACTAACTATGAGCTTTCGTCGTTCTCGCAATCAAGTCGAGGAGCATAGAGGCTTGGTGCCCGACTGAGAGCTCCCGCTTGACACCTCAGGCTCTCCACATCCGACACCTCGCACCTTGCACCCCATTCCTCCTGCAACCTCTCCATCTCATCGACCCTCATCCATTCCTCTCCCACAATCACATTTTCTTCTCCCCACACCCTCCCACCTACGATCTCGCACGATCTCGTCTACATTTTATTGATCTGCGTCATCGATTTCATCCGTTTTCTGCGACTGAGACTTAAAAATCTGTCCTTGGACCCCCAGATCAAATGATCGCGTCTCCTAGATGACCTTCCCTCCCCCTCACCCTTCCGCCCAATCGTCGATTGCTTCTGGCACCGATAAATC